GTGACTTAAAACTAAACAAACGGAAAGTCGACCCAGTCTAGTCAGTGTGTGTGTGTGTGTGTGCGTGTGTCTGAGCTGGGGTGTGTGTGTGTGTGTAAGCCCCAACTTTAAGTTTTATGCGTCTGTGACGACTTTTAATATTGAATATATACAGATATACAGATCTACATACATATTTAGAACTAGTTTTTATATGCACGATACATCTGCCCCGGGGGCCTTAAGAATTCAAGGCTGCAAGCTTCTAAACCCTACACATACACAGCTAGACTTGTACTTAGGTATACATAAATATAAATATATATATATATCTGTTTCGTTTGTTTTCAAATCCAACTGTTGGCTTCACACTTGACGCATTACGTATACGTAATAGTTTGTAAGGTTGCGCTTTATCAAGCATACGCCGCATTGTTCGCGCTTATCACCACTCACCTAAGTTTAACGCATGGACAAATACACACACACATACTTATAGCCAAAAATGAACTGTAACAAACATAAAAATGTGTGAGTGATTTATCGGTGAGTTGAGTTGGCTCTTAACTATCAATTGGATTAGCTGACATTGTTCTCATAAACATATTTAAGCAATGTGGTTTAAAAAAAAATATATATATATATAATCCCCTGAAAACATATTTCCAATACAGAGGTCACAGTATTTAGATCTCTTGTGAATAAAAACATATTTGTGTTAAATGCGGAAGTCACTTGGAAATTAACTTCTTTCATGCTTATATTATTCTTTTTGCTTACTAAAATATGAGTTCTTGAGTTCATTCGTGCCAGTGTTTACTGTATTGATAAAATAAAGAACCGCAATAAGCATCGATTTTATATACACTCATAATTAATTCACTGCAGAGACCGCAGCGAACTGGTTTAACGAAACGCAAAAAAATATGTTAAAAACTAATAAGCTTCCAAATATATATTTAAGAAACAAAAAAAAATAAAACAAGTTAAAACTTAACTAACATATAGTTAAAAGCTAATTATATTTCGATACATAAAAAAAAGAGCAGAGCTAAAATTGAACTAACATCAAAAACATTAAAAACTAAAAAAAGCAAAGCTAAAAATGTTGTTTCATATATGTTTTTGGATGCTACAGCAAATCGATAAATTGCTTCCAGCTTTCCAATTGCTGTATGCAATTAATGAATTGCTCAGGCATTCTCATTGCTCATTTTTAGAAACAAAATACAACAACAACAACAACAATAACAAAAAACAACAACTAATACTATAAGAATAGTATCGAATGCCCGCACAATTACAACTGTACAACAATAATAAGTATATATATACACGCACACAGACACACACAAACACTCACACACATAGCCATAGACACACACATGAAAATAATTGCATAGTGCACATATGTGTGCATGTATTTGTGCAGCCGACATCGGCGGCAATATACTTAGTATATATTTTGAATGGTTGCGCTTTATATTGGCCTCCGAATGTGTCTAGCTTCAATAGCAGGCCAGGGTCATGCGACACCGGGGAGGAAAACTAACGCGAGGCACAAATACAAACACAAACACAAACACAGCCAGCCAGCTAGCCAGCCACACATATAAGTGTATGTGTGTGTGTGTGTGCCCGTTATCGGAAGAAAACGCCAAAAGCTTTACAACAGCGTGCGCGCGAAGTCTCTCAGACACACACACACACACATACGTCTGTGCATGTGTATGCATACAAAACAAAATACGCGCTCGCGTTCATTGCCTTTGCAAAAGTTTAGATCGCTCTCACTCTCCCTCTCTATCTCTCTCTCTCTCTCTCTATCTCTCGCACTCTCCCTCTCCCTCTCTCTGTTGCGCTCTCTTCTGTTCGGCATTAGAAGAGCAACAATAACAAAACAACAGGCATATGCAAAAAATGCATCGACTGCTAATTGATTGACGGCCAGACAGAGATAGAGACACACAAATATGACCACTGCGGAACAGAGAGAAGAGTAAAAGTAATGGGAATAAAGAAAAACAAAATGCTGCAACAGGAAAACTATGCCTTATCGACCAATATCAACAAATCATAACAGAAACAAAAAAAAAAAACAACAAAAAAAAAACACAAAAAAGCTCTCAGGGTTTTTTTGTGTGCAAATTTTGATTTAATTTTTGTGATGAATTTTTGTGTTGTTGGCTTTTGGGTTTTTGCTTTCTGTCGTCTTTTTTTGGGGGAAAAAAAAAACGCAGGAATTTGTGAGGTTGGTCAGTGTTTTGTTGTTGTTATATTTCGGTAATCATATTCACTGATTCGTGGTGAAATTGTTATTGAATGATGCACGCGATCAAAGTGACCTTTGAAGGAAGTTCAATTTGGTATCAGTATCAACTGCTGGTTCAAATACAAATTGTTTGCCTTATTACGAAATAAATTGTTACATTTTTGAAAAGGATTCAAAGAAAGATGAATGTATGAATGATAAATAGATGGCTGAAACTAAATAAACAACTTTATCAATGCCCTATGGTGATGGTGTTTTAGATTCACATTTAAATGTTACCTTAATTAAATATAAGCGCATCGATTTTAACGATCTGCAGTTAATATATCAAAGAAGTTGCCCGCATGAGAAAACGATTAATTTGATTAAAAAGATTGTGGCTTTGATCTCGGCTGGAGATGATAATTTATAAGCTCGTCACTCGCATCGTGTCGAAGGTCACACCCAGCGCATTTGCATTGCCAATATTTGGCTATTTGTCTCGATTTACCATAAACCAAATGCCAAAAACTTAATCGACATAATACACCTAAGCATAAATATTAATAAAAAAAAAAACAACAATAAAATGAAGAAGCACAAACAACCAAAAAAAATCACATTTGCGCTGTTGTTAGCAGTTTTTTTTAGAGGTTGTTGTTGCTTCTTTTGTCTCGAATTTTAATTATTGGTAAATTGTAGTATTGAAGCCAAAAAAAAAGTGGGACATTGCTCTACGAAGCTATGTAATTCGAGAAGTGTTCAAGCACCAAAAATACCCAATAGCCAATAACCAAATTGAGCAGCTCAATTGAATAGCAAAGATAGTGTGGAAACAAATAGTCCATATATAGTCCATATCTATAGAATACAACCTATTGGGAAATGAAAATTCTGCCAATTCGGTGAGAAGACAAAGAGTGATTCATCGTCGTTTGTCAAAGGAATTATACTAAATTTTGCATATGAAAATTATATTACAAAAATAAATCAGTTCACAAATATACATAAAACTTATTCTCATACAATTTATTTCTGATAATCAGTCAAATCGGTTAATGTAGAAAGTTCTAGAGTATTGTTCTTTTACGAATCGTTACACTTAAATACAGAAAGAAAAGAATTTAGATTGAACAACATTCTATTATTAGATAATTTAAAGAAAATGTAACAAGGTTTTATTTAACTTATTTTTACTCCTGCTTGCTTTTGGGAGCAACGGTAAAACATATTCCCATCCATAAATCTTCTACATATTAAATGAATCATTCCTTTCATCTTTAAGTATATACATATATACCTATATGTGTATATTAGTATTTGCTGATATTTTCCTGAACTTTCATGTGCATATATGCTTGTGTGCATGTGTGAGTGTGTGTGTATGTGTAAGCGATGACGAAATGTGAGCATAGAAAGCTTTTTGCGTTTGCCTCTTTGCAATTTGCTTCCTGCATTTTTGCACTTTTTTCTGTTTTTCTTTCGTATGCAACTCCACAATAAACGCAACAAATAAACGCGATTTCAGCTCTCGATAACATTATCCATAAATTTATAGAAAGAAAGCAAATTCTAGAAAATTTAAGCTAAATTTCCAATGCCGTTGCACGCTGCGTATGCGCAATATGGCAACGAGAGCGAGGGATCGAGAGAGAGAGAGAGAGAGGGAAAAACTGAGATAAATTCCAACAAAATCTGCTTGTCATTTCTTACCATTTGAAACAGAAGTAATCCAAATTGATGTATATCCATTATGTGTACCGTTGGATGTGTAGATTTTGATTTCAGCTTTTAGAGTTATATTTTCTAAAAAAACCGTTGCACTTTTTGTTGATTATTTTTATTTGCACAGAAACTATTGTAAATGTTGCGTGTGTAAATCTACAATAATAACAACAACAACATAAACACTTTTTTGAGGCACTTTTTCTTGAGGGTGGGCGGAGGGGGCGTGGCAGGTGGTAGTATATTTAACAAACGATGTCAAAATACAATTACACAAATAGACATTTGCCAATTGCGTTTGGCATTTTGGCAGTGAATTCAGATCCGATACAGATTCAGATTCAGATTTAACTATAACACACACTCTCTCACACACGCACACACACTATTGCACTTTGTAACGCATTTTGCTTGATTTATGTATTTTTATTTTTTTTTTTTGGAGGAGTCTTGACTTGAAGCGAATCGATTTTCGTTTAATTAGCAACGCGTCGGTTGTCGGTCGTCGGCGGGGGGAGGGTGAAGTGTGCGGAAAGGTGTTGCGGCAGCGACGCGCGCGCGTTTTAAACGCTGCAGTAACAAAAAATACTTTCTTGCTATTGTTTGAGGGGCGAGGGTTTTATTTTTTGTATTATTATTATTATTTTGTAGCTGCTGATCGACTGTGAGTGTGTTTGTGTATGTGTGTGCCCAGTTCTCGGAATTTTGCGACCGTCCGTTACAGCAGTCAGATGAAGACTAAACGCAAGCGAACGCGTTATTTTTGCACACAGCAGTGCACTGAGCACACAGATACACAACACACATACACACACACACACATGAGCGTCGACAACAGCGGCAGAGACACGCGCGCGGCCGCTCAAGTTCATGCTCTGAACTTCAAAGCTCAGTTACCTTCATGCACGTCGTGCCTCTGCTTGTATGTGTGTGTGAGCGCAAGCAAAAGAGCGAGAGAAAGAGAGAGAGGCAGCGCTTAAGAGAGTTTGCCAGTGCGAATGCATCGCTACGCAAAAAGAAGAGAAACAGCAAAAAGAGTTGCAAATCAGCGTACAAATCCCTTTTAATAGGCCTTCTACATTGGGAACATAACAATTAGAGACATACAAAATATTTAATAAAAAAGCAATGTGTTAATAAACTTATAATTGGTTTTTGATTTTATAACTGCATGGAAAACAAGCTGTCGCAAATGGCTTCATTTTTCACTTTGTTTAATATATAATGCATATGAGGGAATTATTTATGTGGTCTTCAAAGTGGTCGGTATTTTGGGCAATCCGAACTCATCCGTTTCAATGGTGCTCTGCAAATCGAAATGATTTTAATACATATTCATTTCACAAGTGTAGCAATTGAATACCTTTCCTGGTTTGATGCTATCGGCTCCTGGCTCTCTGTCCGGCGCTTCGGGCGCCTTGACAACATCATCCAAATAGCTGGCATCATCGTCCAATGCCATCTCATCACCCAACGCATCCAGCTCCGCCTGCAAATCATCGTCATCCACATCGGGCATGCCGTAAGTGCGACCCATTGCCTCCTGCACCTCATCCGCCTGTTCTAGCATATCGGCCATATCATCTTGCATATCCTGCATATCAAGAACAAAAACATATAAATAATTATGTCCATTTGAGGAAACTAATTGCAGTTACCTCAATATGATCGATATTGATTTTCTTATATTCGGTTTTCATTTGCTTGACACCGTCCTTCATGGCGGCCACAGTGGCTTGAGTATCCTTGAGCGATTGTGCTGCATAGTTGGCCTGTTCCATGTTAAAGGACTGATTACGCAGAGATTCGGCTTGCTGTTCATAACTATAAGTAATAATAAGTAATAGTTAGTATTTGAACCCTTTCATTTGATAGACAATAAATTACGCCTTCTTTTGCTTAAGCACACGCAGCGCTCTTTGTTTAACTGAGTTCTTCGCTGGTGATTCGCGCATTTTGCTCATCTGCTCGCGGTATTTGCGCAGCTCCGTCTCCAACTTGGCAATCTTCTCCTCAATGTTTGCAGCTCGTGCATCCACCTTAATAAATAAATAATAAATATTAAAACATTTAAATATCAATACGGGATTCTCCAGCAACACTTTTTCATGTTTCACTTCTTCTCACCCCTGTTATGCAGTCATTTAGACTTGGTCCAGGCTCCTTGGGTTTACCGCGTCCAAAAAGTCGATTCATTTTTTATTTTTATTGAGAGTTTTCTCCAAAAACTATAAGTAATTCTTTTAAATTTGCTGCGAAATTTGCTTGATGACTAATTTTCTGCTTCTTGCTCAATTTGTGAACAGCTGTAGAGCTGGAGTATATCGATAGTTAAAAACTTATCGCAAGAGTCGATATGTCTCCCCAGCCCTGAACACACAGAGTTTGTGTATTGAATTTATGATTTCGAGAAAAGGAAGTCGAAACAATCTAATTCAATTGAAGATATCTATCTTCTTTAGAGAAAAACAAAACCATTAACAGCGCAACTTAAGCGAGTCAAACAAATCAAGCGATCTCAAACCGAACGACAATCAAACACAGTTTGAATCGCGCAACTGATTGAGCGAAGTGATGAGAACTAGTTCGTTCGCTCAGTCGCTGGGTCGTTCGATCGAACTTAACGCAAGCGATTCGATAGAAACTCGCATATAAAAGCAAGCAGAGTGCTGCAGTTGCTTACATTTATTGCACGTAAGCCAAGTTTGTGTGGGCAGCGCGAGCGTGAAGTGGAAAGATGCAACGGAATACGAAGCATCGAGTGTAGTCGCAAATCGTTTTTATTATTATCTTAACAACTGAAAATGAATGCAGTTAATTGTGCTATAAATATATATAAATCAAGCAGCAACGCCGTGAATTCTGTTACTAAATACTTGCCAGCGCATCGCAATAAGTGTATATTTTGTGAAAATTCAATATTTTCCTACTTGTGTTCCTTTGACGTCACTAGCTGAAAGTCAGCTGTTTGTTTGACGCAGGCCAAACATGCCGTAGTTTGTTGTTGTTGCACAAAACCAAAAACAAAAAGTAAACTAAAAGAGTCAAAATCCAAAATGGATAGCTACATGTACTATAAAAGTCTGCGCGACAGCGCTGCCCAAAAAATCGCTGCCGTCACAGAGGCCTCTGCCATGGTCAGCAGCAGCAGCGCTGCGACGCCACACGTCGAGGATGGCGGCGTCTCAATGGATAATTTCTACCCGGCTTTAGTGCAATGTTTTGGCATTATAATCTGTGGGTAAGTTATCAACTTTAAACAGGAAGGGGCTAAATAGCTTTTAGTTGGAATGCATTTTGTTTTGGTTTGTTTCCCATTCTATAAATGGTTCTTATTTTAAATGTAATTTTTAATTGAATTTAATCAATTTTTAACTGATTTTAGTTTAGTCGGTAAATAAATAAGGAAATAAAGGCCGGCTAATAATAATATAGTAGCTTGACACGCATTTTCGGAACTGAAAGTTCATGGCCTGCACCTTGACCTATGAACTATATATCAATATTTGTGTTTAGCTGTATTTTTGTGTGGGTGTGGAGTTGTGATTTGCATTGATTTGCCATTGTTATTGGCGGCGTTATCAGGTTTTTGAGCTCGCATTTATTGTTTCCTCCTCTATGCTAGTTTTCACTCTACAAATAAGTTGATATTGTTATTGTTATTGTTTACTTGTCACGAGCTCGTTCAATGACCGGTTTTTTGTTTACTTTTGAGTCCAAATATTGAATTATATATGATACATCTGCAGCAAGCGGAGATTTGATGCATCCCAAAAAAACTGTGTCTGTTGCTTGTCATGATTAATATTTTTACAATGTTGATGTTAACAACTCGATTTGCCATTTGTCTAATTGATATTCGTATTTTAAGTGGGTTTTTCAGTTGCATTAATTTATGCATTGCATTTATCCGTTGCCCGTTAGTCATACAGGTCGTTGGCTTTATTTATACAAATAATTCCCCTCCATGTGAAAACATAGCTTAACAACAATGACTCATCAATAACATGTACATCATGTTGCATGCAAATGATAAATTCGTAACTAGCTGAATACAGTTGACACATGTTTAATGTGCATGTTTCTTTTTTTTAATGCTATTATATATAATTACAAAAGCCACTTAAATCTAGTTTTTCGCATTATTCAATAAATGCACCACTCAATTATAAAAATATTATTTTTAAATTGCCAATTTTCAATTTGATAAAAAAACAGAACACTTCCCACCTGGAATATAATTATTTTAATTTTGATTACTCATTTTAGTACAATAACTTTGGTTTCATCGCATTTTTAGCTAATTGCGACAATTAAATAAACTGTCACTCTAATTTTCATTGAGTGTTACCTAAACAAATACCTTAAATCTTGACCATAAATCGTCGTTATCAATTTTCCGGCGTTCTCAAGCGTGAAGCATTCAAATTTGCATCAACCATTTTAATTTATTATAAAATAGTTGCAACACAACGAACGAGACGACAAAATGATATTATGCAACAATGTAAAAATTGTAACAATTAAAGAAACAGCAACAAACAAGCACAATAACAACAACAACAAAATATACATAATACCAGTTCAATTTCCATAAGACTTTTGCCATTACTAATTACAATAAGCGAAAGTAAAACGTTTAGAGAGTGCGATAGAAAAAAACAAAACAGCAAACAATAACACAAAAGCTAAGCTAAACTATAGCTCTATAAACAATTACAAATGACCTTGCAATATGTTGGCAGTAAACAAAATCGATCAACTTCGATTGATGCAATCGTCTAACGTCTAACGATTATGTAAACGTCACTCGCTGATATATACAGTGAACACTCGATTATGCTAGATTTATGCCACAGAAAGACTGATTGTAAATTTAAATATTGCGATTTAGTTTTTGAGTGTTCTATTCTATTTTTGCACAGCGTGCATAAATTGAAGGCAGACTTAATTTAAGCATTTTAGCAGTGAATCATGAATATATATTATAAATCAGACATTGACTTTAGATCGTAACACATTCGCAGAGGTTTTTTCTCTCTCTTTATTTTCGGATAAGTAATTGTGTAAGTTGGCTGATAGCATTTTGTTTAGTTGAGACTTTATTTTTTAAATTAAAATTGTTCAAAATAAACTAAATATATATATTATAAACTATAGTCAAAGTTGATTGGTTGGCTGTCTGCTGTTTTGAAGTTGAGTTTTGTTGATATTTGTTTTCTTTCTTTTATTGGCTATCCAAGTTCTTACTGTGTTTTTGATTGTATTTGTTAACACATTTATGCATGCGCAGTTGTTTTAAATGGAGATAAAGGCACGCGAGGCTGCCGACTATATATATATATATATACATTATAGACTATTGTAAGCTTTTTTTTATTGATTAGCCGAGTTTTCACTGTGCCTATGATTATATTTATTACCACACTTATGCATGCTCAGCTGTTTTAAATGTTGATATATGCACGCTAACGCTGCTTCGACTATCGTCAATTAAACAGCAATAATATTTGTGTGCAACTCGAATCGTACTCAAATGAAATTGGTATTTGATTTGCAATTGTTCATAATAATAAGCCACTTTATAGATTTTATTTTCATATTTAATATGTTGACAACTTCGCAGTGAATAATATCAGCTCGGGGCTAGGAAATACCCCAAGTTTAAACTGTGACTGCATAAGTAGGTTAATATCAATAAGTCTACGTTTCACACATGCCTTTTTTTTGTATTATGTCAGCTAAAAGTTAATCTGCACAGCTGTTTTTCAGCTGGCTTTCAATGTATTTCTGTGTGTGTGTGTGTTGAGTTAGTATCTCAAAGTCCAGCTGTTAATACTCAGAGCAAGCCAATCAGGGCACGTGACGAGTTGCTAGCAATGAGATCACAAGTTAAAGATTCTAGAGACGAGAGAACCATTTCATTTGTAGAACAAATGTGTCGACTTTCCTGCCATTAATACAAAATTTTTGGCATAGCAAAGCTAATTGCGAAACTTTCCATTTACGTTTTCCAAGGGTATTTCAATTATATTATATTCATGGTCTAATATTATTGCAAAGCTTGTTTGTATAAGAGACACACTTGTTATCAGCAAACACAGACAACAGACAAGACAACAATAAGAATAAGAGCGCCAACAACTGCTGTGACAAATTCTTAAGCTATTTGGAACTCCAAAAAATGTTTAAAATAGATAACAGACACGCCCAGCACAAATAGTGTACTAATAGTAAAAACATCAGTTTTGCTTGAAAACAATTTAACTATGTAAATTATAATAAAAAGAATTCGCTGTGCAGACAATTTGAAAGTGTCCCAAATTGCAATCCAGTTCAATGCAAACATTTTAGGTCAGTTCGAGCTTTTCCTCTCTGAATGCGGGGAATTACTCTACTTGTTGGTTGTTTGGGAAAACCCCTCATGAATATTGGGTGGGGTAACGACAAATATTACATTTTTCAGATTTTGAAATGCAAAAACTGGTTTTCAACTTTGCTGCGCTTTTCTTGCATGTTGTTTGGCGCCCAACTGCGAAACGCGTAAACAAACAATCCCCATTTGTAAACGTATTTGTTGATTCAAGTAATTTCCGCATTTGCATACAGATATATATACATATGCATTAAATGCACGCACTTTAAATGCAGATCGAGAATTATTATTGCCGGCACATTTTTAATTAATTTCTTTCTTCCTGTCTGCAGCTACATAGCCGGTCGCTTTAAGATAATCAGCAATGCGGAAACGAAGGGACTTGCCACATTTGTGGGCACCTTTGCCCTGCCCTCGCTCATCTTTCTCTCGCTGGTGGAGCTCAACTGGAGCGCTGTCAACTGGACCTTTTTGCTCGCCATGCTCATCTCGAAGGCCATCGTCTTCTTTGCCGTGCTCATCATTTGTCTGCTGGTGGCTCGACCTTTGAACTATGCTCGCGCAGGCGTCATGGCCATCTTTTGTACTCAGAGTAACGATTTTGCCATTGGTTATCCCATAGGTAAACAATTGTATAGAATTTCCCAAGCCATCCATTTAATGCTCTGTCTTATTTCCAGTGATGGCTCTTTACAAGAATGTGCATCCGGAGTATGCCTCGTATTTGTATCTCATGGCGCCCATTTCGCTGGCCATTCTCAATCCGATTGGCCTGATACTCATGGAGATTAGTAAGATTATCAAAAACAAGGAGGAGGTCAGCCGCAATCCACCACTCTGCCCAGAGACCTGCCCCGCCGAGCAGATGAGCAAGCAACGTCGTTGCTTCGGCGAGCACTCGATACTCGTGGGGAACACAATCAAGTCGCTGTTCTTCAATCCACTGCTGCTCATGACGCTGCTCGGCGTCGCAGGTGGTTTCCTCTTTCCCAAGGGACTGCCTGAAATGGTGGCCAGTGTTTTGCGCGTCTTTGGACAGAGCTTCTCGGCCACGGCGCTCTTTTTGCTCGGTCTGAAGATTGTTGGTGGCAGCTCGGGCTCCGAGCGCAAACCGATGGGCATGGGTCTCCTGCTGCCCAGCGTGCTCATATTGGTCAAGATGTGAGTAATAATGGAGAACATCATAAATGTCTCATATTGACAACTTTCTGTTTTCAGCTTGGTGCTGCCTCTGGTCTGTCGCCAGACAGTGAATATTATCCAGGCTGGCGCTAACTTCAATGACACCACTGAGCTGAGCACCTTTGGCTTTCTCTACGGCACCTTTCCGGCGGCGCCAGGCGCTTTTGTCATTGCTACCCAATACAACGTGGAAGTGGAACTGGTGCGCAACATTTGGCAATCGATTTCGAAACAATATTCTAAATTTGCATTCATTTTTGTAGATTGCGCGCAGCATGGTTTTGTGCACCTTCATCTCGGCACCACTTATGTTTATCTCAGCCAAAATGATATCGCTGACCAATCTAAAGCCACTGGATTACTTGCATGAGTTGGATGCCTTCTCTTTCGATATAAGTGTAGCTGGAGCCGCCGCCTGCTGCTGGATGCTGGCGCTGTTGATTGTGACCAAAAGATTTAAGCGCATGCCCCAAAGAATTACAGCTTGCTTGGTGCTCTCGCAGGTGAAGCTATTGAGATTCATCTTAATCGTTGTCATTTCTAATTTGTTTTAAATGCTTTGCTTACAGCTAATGTGCTGCATTGGCGTCATACTCTGGTCAAAGCTGGATCATGTGGAACGTTGGCCTTTGTATTTACAATTCTTTCTATTCAACATTGGCACTTACAGCTCACGCTTGTGGACGGCCTTTTTGGCCATAACGCTGCTCTTCCTACAGTGTCGCAGCTTGTGCTTTGTGCTAAAACTCTGGCCGTATATGGTAACGACTTTGACTAAACATTAACTATGCACTTTTACTAACTGTTCAATATCTTTACAGCTTATCTTTGCCTGGGGAGTGCCAGGGCTCATCTCCGGCCTGCTGATTGCTTTTGATTCCAAATCCATGCCCAGCGAGAAACAGAATCCCAGCTTTCAATATGGAAACGCTCAGGCGGCGATTGCAGTCTTTATGCTCGTCATGTGCTTTATAGGTGTGCAGTGAATGAATAATTAAATAATATAAATTTTTATTAGCTGATGTTAAAATGTACTATATTTGACGCGTTATGACAGCTTGGCATGCTGCAAGGTGTGGCAAACTTACAGTGATGCCCCATTAAGTTTTCAATCTGACACTAAAATTTGAATTACAAATGTCCCTCTGCTTGTGCAAATACTAATTTTAACGTTTCTAATTTTCAGTTACTGTGGGCTGCTTGGTGCTGCATCAACGCTACAAGAAGCGCTATGAAAAATACCTGACCTATTCGCGTGAGCTCTCTAATCCGGATTCTGGTATGACCACAAAGACCATTCATAATAATAGTAACTTCAACTATTTTACACTCTAGCAACCGATTTACATTCGACGGTGTCGACTGCCAATTTGCTGGCCAACACAGATCGTTCCTCGATTAGGCAGAGTGTGCGCACCACTTCCTATTCGTCCTCGTCGGATGATGATGAAATGATAACCACGACTGTTGTTCCGGATACTCGGGCTAGTGGCGGCTGTGGTTCAGGCAACGGCTGTTGTTCCAATTCAGCAGTGACCACGCCCACAACAACATCTACGGTAGTCATGGATATCGAGGATCTGCTGAATCGCAGTCGACAGCGCAATGGTATGAATTCCACGGACTTGGATAAAATTGACATTGCTCCAGCTACTGAAAAGTAAGCATTGAATTTACCTAAATTGGAGCTCATCTTGTATATTAACTTGATCTGTTGCAGCCACATGTGCAGCAGCTCGTACAATTGCGGTCCGAGCACATCGCGTCAGAGCTGTCAGAACATCATTGAGCGCTATGAGGAGCAGACGCGCAGGGGACTGGAGCCGTTGGAGCATACGAGCGACAGCGATGAGCATCAGACATTGAAGCACACAATCCTATTAATCATACTGCTGTGCTCAATGTTTGTCGGTCTTGCCGTGTCCATTTGGACTCTAGTCATGGAGGGCATGTCGGGCATCTACTTGGAATTGAGTTTTCTCGATGCGTTCCTCAACTTCGGCCAAGGCTTAATTGTGCTAGCTGTTTTCATAAGTGACACGGGCGAGCTACTGATGCCGCTAATCAAATTTTGGCGTAAAATATGGTAACTTGTTGTAGTACATCATTTCAAGAGAGAGTAGTGATTAATACAGTTCTCATAGGTATGGCGCCAATGTTGTCAGTCTGCCCCACTGGTCGAATCTGCATCCCGAGACAAAACAGATATGCGAACAATTTCGCAATCATCATTTGGAGAACTGCAAAAAGGATATTGCCAAGGACAGAAGGTGAGTTCTAAATACATTTTAAATCTGCTTACTTTAATAATACATTCCCTTCAATAGATGGCGCATTCGAGTCTATCGCAAGGTCTTTTATGGCAGCGAGTTTGTCAGCTGGCTTATTGAGGTCGGTCTCTCCAAGGATCGCATGGAGGCTGTGCATTATGCACGACATCTAGTTGATGGTCGCGTGCTGCGACACATTAACAACGTTTATCACTTCGAGGATAAACAATTGCTTTATAACTTCTGTAGTCGCATCTAGGCGACAAGAGCAGAAAGAAAAGTAGAAAATGCAACGACACCAAATTTTAGCTCGTTTTTTATGTTTAAGTGAGAATCTTGTAATTTGTGTGCTGTGATTGTACGCACACACACACACACATCCCCACACAGACACTCTTACCAGCAGCCAAATAGGAGTGTTTGTGCGTGTGTGTGTGTGTTCGTGAATGGCTAAGTGTCTATCAGTGTGTATAGGGAATTTGTTTATTGTTTATTTATACAAATGATGGAAATGCTTTGACATTTGCTTATACTATAAGTAGATAGTAAATAATGAGCAGCTAATGTTTGAGCTATAGTGCAATACTTTAGATATATAAAAATATAATAATAACTGTCACAAGCAAACGAAAATACTGTGCATAAAACGTGTGAATGCATATACATAAAAATAACTAAATATATATACACAAACATCAATAAATTGATATAAATAAATAAATAAATACCTCATGCCGTAAGGCCGCAAACAAAGTTGGAAATTGATTCGAGTGCTTTAAAATGATGTTTACTTTTCTAGTCCAATAAAAACAATTGGAGCTACCCCAATCATCCAAAATCCCACAATGTGTTATCATCAATGATAAGAAAAAAGTACTAAATCGCATTTCCCCTGATTTTTCAAGAGCCTGATTACGATTATAAAAGCCAACATTCTTTGCCATATTGTTTATTTATATTTAATATAGGGGCAATGATATTTAGGTTGAGAGCCACAATCATGTCAGTTATAAATAGAAAATTCGGCGTGGTTTATTGGGAAGATTATATACTTTATTGTGGTAGGATATGTCAAGGAATCCCAATTCCCAGACACGCAGTCACTGTCACATTCAGTGTTCGTCTTTGCTTTTGTTTTTTTTTTTTTTGGCTCTGGACATATAAGTCTAAAAATAGGCGCATTTTGGGTGTGTGTTTCTTTTGATGTCCTTGCAGGATGACGTTAGCAATTGGATTGAAATGATTGGTCTGAATACAGTTGACTGTGATTCCCCGTAGAAATCATACAAAAATTACGCATACGTCGTGTTATCGCCGTTCACAGCGCTGTCGACGTCGACGGCAGCGTTAACAGGCGTTTTGCATTTGCTCTTCTGTGATTTTACTCTTTTCTGACTGTATTATTCATCGGCTTCATCATTGAGTTGCAGTTCTGTCTCTGAACATCATTTTCTAAATCTTCTTCAACACACTTAACCCCATTAAATCCACAAACAAACTTTACAACAGAAAGTGTTGATAAAAATGGGCTTTCGTCGAAGTTCCACAAGGACTTAAATTGTTTTTAGGACTTTGATGTCACAAGAAATACTTGACTTTCTAAGTTAGCTAATAAATGATTGGTTAAGCTTCGACAATCAATGGTGTAAGCCAAGTTCTCGAAGTTGTGCAATGGGCCAACTGATGAATCGGAAGCAACAGCATCAGCAACAATAGAAGGAACAGCAGGAGGAACAGGGGCATTAACAGAAGGAACAGCAGCTGCAACAGCAGCAACAATAGAAGGAACAGCAACAGGAGCATCAACAAAGCAGCAGCAATAGCAACATCAGGAGCAACTGCAATAGTTGTATCAGCAGCAGCAACAGCAGCAGCAACAGAAGGAACAGGAGCAGCAACAGAACGAACAGGAGCAGCAACAGAAGGAACAGCTGCAGCAACAGTAGCAGCAACAATTGAAGGGACTGCAACAACAGCAGCAGGAATAGAAGGAACACCAGCTGTAACTGCAGCAGCAACAGCAGCAGAAGCATAATCAGCAACTGCAGCAGCAACAACAGAAAGCCACAAACAGTTGTCATCATTGTTGATTGTGTTGCGGGTCGACATTCTAAGTCGACGACTTGATGGAGAAGGCTGTGCTTAATATATAATTGACGTAACGTGTAATGCACATCACCAGTTTGTGGTGAAAATCTCGACTGGCCAACAAAATGGACAACTTCATCAACAATCATAGTCTGCGTGACATTAACAGTACAACAATGCCACACATTCAAGCTGGCGGCGTCTCTATGGATAATTTCTATCCGGCTTTGGTGCAGTGTTTTGGCATTATAATCTGTGGGTAAGTTTATAAATATTCATTCTGATTATAGTCCACAAATGTTTATGCAAATGAGTCTCTAATTTTGTGGTAATTGTAAGTTTCCTTCATTGTTAAAGAAATGAATGAAATAAATTTAGAAATTGTCTTCACATGAGTAATGCTGCTTTGCTGCTGATTTTGATTCGTAGCTTTATTCAAATTGGAATTTTTCTGTGGGGTTTTTTTGTTTGATAAGTATTAACTTACACAATAGTTTTATCCGTTACCCGTTAATCATGCATTGTTTTATATATATATTTATATATATATTGTGCATATATATATTTTTTCGCCATTAACTTTTATGCCTCTATGAGTTGAATGCTCAGTGGTATGATTAAATATTGAATTTATTAGTTTTGAACTTGCACTTGCTGGTAACCTTATCCTGGAAATGTTCTTAATAAATAAATAAATAAATCATTAGCAGAATCAATACCTGGCAGGTTATTATAATTTAACTTGAATAATATAGGGGACAATATCCTTCTATTTGTGTACCCATTTGCTTAAGTTCATTCAACGATATTTTTAAACTTCATTGAGAATTATATAGAATTAGATATTATTATATATATATATACATATAGCCAGCATATTTCCTTACCTTTGTCTGCAGCTATTTAGCCGGTCGCTTTGGGATAGTTACCAATGCCGAAACGAAAGGATTGGGAACATTTGTGAGCACCTTTGCCCTGCCCTCGCTCATCTTTCTCTCAATGGTGGAGCTCAACTGGACTAACGTCAATTGGAGCTTTTTGCTTGCCATGTTCATCTCCAAGTCCGTCGTATTCTTTGCTGTGCTCATCATTTGTCTGCTGGTGGCCCGACCTTTGAACTATGCCCGAGCAGGCTTGCTGGCCATGTTTTGTACTCAGAGTAACGATTTTGCCATTGGTTATCCCATAGGTAGAAACTACGACTCATACGCCCAAGCTATTCCCACTTGATGATTTCTGTTATTTTCAGTGATGGCTCTTTACAAAGATGTGCATCCGGAGTATGCCTCATATTTGTATGTCATGGCACCCATTTCATTTGCCATTCTCAATCCCATTGGCCTAGCTTTCATGGAGATTAGCAAGAATATCAGGAACAAGGAGGAGCTCAGTCGCAATCCACCACTCTGCTCCGCCGAGTCGATGCGCCAGCAACGTTATTGCCTCGGCGAGCGAACAATGTTCGTATGGAACACGTTTAAATCGCTGTTCCTTAATCCGCTGGTGCTGATGACGCTGCTCGGCATCGGACTGGCTTTCGTGTTCCCCAAGGGACTGCCTGCGATGGTGGCCAGTGTGCTTCGGGTCTTTGGACAGAGCTTTGCGGCGCCGGCCCTTTTTCTGTCCGGACTCAAGATTATCAGTAGCGGCTCTGGTTCACAGCGCAATTCATTGGGCATATTGTTGCCATGTGTACTCATGTTGGTCAAGATGTGAGTACTGTCGGATATTTTAAATATTTCAGATTAGCAACTTTTCGATTTTGTTTCTAGCTTCGTGTTGCCTCTGGTCTGTCGCCAGGCTGTGTATACATTTGGTGCTGGGGCTACCATTGATGCGACAACTGAGCTGAGCACCTTTGGCTTTCTCTACGGCACTTTTCCGACGGCTCTCGCCGTCTTTGTATATGCGACCCAATACAACGTGGAAGTGGAACTGGTGCATAATATTTGGCATTTAATTTGTAATCGAAAGAGTATTCTGAATTTGCATTCACCTTTTCAGATTGCTCGCAGCCTGGTTTTGTGCACCTTCGTCTCGGCGCCAGTTATGTTTATCTCAGCCAAAATGATATCGTTGTCCAATCCCAAGCCCGTTGACCCTGTCCATGAGCTGGATGCGTTCTCCTTTGATATTAGCATTGCTGGTGCCGCCGCCTGTTGCTGGATGTTGGCGTTGTTGATTGTGACCAAGAGATTTAAGCGCATGCCCCAAAGAATTACCTTCTGCATGGTCTTGTCGCAGGTAAAACTTTTAATTTTACCGAAATATTTGGAATTTCTAATTGATTTGATATAATTTACTTACAGTTAACATGTTGCATTGGCGTCATACTCTGGTCGAAACTGGATCAAGCGAAACGTTGGTCTTTGTATTTGCAATTCTTGGGCGATTGCAGCTCACGTTTGTGGACGGCCTTTTTGGCCATAACGCTGCTCTTCCTACAGTGTCGCAGCTTGAGTTTTGTGCAAAAGCTCTGGCCGTATATGGTAACGATTTTGGCGAGCAATTAACTATGCACTTTGATTAACTGTTCAATTTATTATTAGCTGATCTTTGCCTGGGGCCTGCCAGGGCTCGCCTCCAGCCTGCTGATTGCATACTTGCCCCTGCCCAGCAAGAAAAAAAATCGTAGATTTCAATATGGCAGAGTGCAGAAAACAATTGTAGTCTTCGTACTCGTAATATGCTTTACAGGTGTGTTGGGAATGCAATGCATAATTTATATTGTTCAAATGTAATATAATTGTCGCCTGCCACTTGACAGACTGCAAGGTGTGGCAATCTTTCAGTTCAAATTTGAATTACAAATGTCCCTCTGCTTGTGCAAAGACTAATTTGAACATTTGTAATTTTCAGTGACTGTCTGGTGCTTAGTGCTGCATCAACGCTACAAGAAGCGCTATGGAAATAACCAGACCACTTCGCGTGAGTTGTTCAAGGACAGCTCAGTTTTTTTAATAGTGATTTAATCTCTTTGCGTTCTAGCCAATTTGCCGGCCAACACAGATGGTTCCTCCAGTTCCTATTTGCCCTTATCGGATGATGACGAGATGATAACCACGACTGATGTGCCGGATACCCGGTCAAGTTCAAGTTCAGGCAATTGTAGTGATTCCAGTTCAATTGTAACCCAGCCTGCAACATCTACGTCGGGCATAAGTATGGAGGATCTGGATAAAATTGAGAGCGTGCCTGCCACAGAATCGTAAGAATCAATTTTAAAACAGAACGTATTATTTACAATCATTTAATATCTGGCTGGAATAGTTCATATGACTTCAATGAGGAGCAGAGGGAGCACAGAGTGTCTCAGCCATTGGAGCCTTTAGAGTCATTGGAGAATACGACCGATGAGAATCAGAAATCGAGGCACATTGTCCTGCTAATCATACTGCTGTGCTCAATGTTTGTCGGTCTTGCCGTGTCCATTTGGACGTTAGTCGTGGAGTGTCTTTCAGGCATCTTTTTTGAATTGAGTTTTCTCGATGTGTTTCTCAACTTTGGCCAAGGTTTGATTGTCCTAGCGGTTTTCATAGGCGACACGGTCGATCTACTGATGCCATTTTGGCATAAAATATGGTAACTTGTTGTAGTACATCATTTTAAGAGAGAGTAGTGATTATTGCTGTTCTCATAGGTATGGCGCCAATGTTGTCAGTCTGCCCCACTGGTCGAATCTGCGTCCCGAGACAAAACAGATATGCGAACAATTTCGCAATCATCATTTGGAGAACTGCAAAAAGGATATTGCCAAGGACAGAAGGTGAGTTCTAAATACATTTTAAATCTGCTTACTTTAATAATATATTCCCTTCAACAGATGGCGCATTCGAGTCTACCGCAAGGTCTTTTATGGCAGCGAGTTTGTCAGCTGGCTTATTGAGGTCGGTCTCTCCAAGGATCGCATGGAGGCTGTGCATTATGCACGACATCTAGTTGATGGTCGCGTGCTGCGACACATTAACAACGTTTATCACTTCGAGGATAAACAATTGCTTTATAACTTCTGTAGTCGCATCTAGGCGACAAGAGCAGACAGATGGAAAATGCAAAGTTTTTATGTTTAAGTGGGAATCTTGTAATTTGTGTGCTGTGATTGTATGCACACACACACACACACACATCCCCCCACACACACACACACTTGCCAACAGCCAAATAGGGGTGGGTGTGGTGTGTGTTTGTGACTGGCTGCGTGTCTATAAATGTATACATGGACTTTGTTTATTGTTTATTCATGAAAGCGATGCAAATGCTTTGACATATGTATATGTTTATTCGATAAGTAGATGAAGATGCAAAATGAATGCGCATAAAACGTGTTTAATATAAACATATAAACAATTAAGCACATTCATCAATAAATTGTTACATATAGCTTATGGTGTAAGGCGCCAAAAATAAAACATTACGAATGCATTTGTGTCGCATTTGGTATTTGAATTTTGTATCAAATCAGTTCCAGCCAGCCGCAACTTGAAGTCATTTGAATTTCGCACTTGTGCACTGTTTGTTTACGTGTATATATTTATATATATAGTATAGTATAGTACAGTATAGTATAGATTCTATAGGTATTTATACACATCTTGTGGGCTCCCATCAATTCTGCTTAATTTTGGCGTGCACGCGTGGACAAATTTGCGGCTGCGTGTTTGAAATTCCAATTGCCTTTAATTCCGGCCCGTTTTAATGGGCGCACGTTGTCCGGCTATTGATAAAATGTTAATGTGAAATGGGAGACCAGTCAACTGGCCTATCGAGGCATCAGAATGCCGCTGTTGATGTCCAATGTTTTGATATTTGCTGATTCTTATTATTATTATTCTTTATTTTTATTTGGCTACGCTCCTTTATCGGGCAGCGTTGGCAGCACAATAAATATTTCTTGTTTCTTTCTTATGCAAAATAGCCGCAGCTTTAAAATGTAAAGCAATGCGTGATTTTGTGCGAGACGATGCAGCGCCTCCGATTGTTGCCACAGCTTCCGCTTGCGTCCGTAGATCGCTGCGACTTCAGTTTGTATGCAACTCACGTCACAGTATGCACTCGCCATAAGCAACAACTGCAGCTGCCTGACACTGAGGCATGACGCTGAACCTACCCACCCACAATATTGCCAATTCTTTTCGTATATCAACATCTAATGCTGTTGTCTAGAATAAAAAACAGACCACTTCAGACGCTTGGCTTCCCCGAATGCCAAGTTATATATCTCATCTGGGATCTTTGCTATTATTGTTTCCATACTGCAATCAAACCAATTGGGACTACCCCAATCAGCCTAAGCCAACAAATGTTATCAGTAGTGCCATAAAGATAATGGCATTAACTTTGTTGCGAGGAATCGAGTCACTTTTCTTGGAAATCAGCTCTGATGATATAAAAGAAATAAATTGCATTACCTCGGAATTGTTCATGACCTTGCATAATAGAGGTTGTGGTATATATTTGTCGGGACACACATACAATCGACAATTCAATTTGACTTTATTTACTTTGAGTTGGAGTTGTTTGACTGCAGTATGTGATGTAATGTAAATTGAAGCATTGCAGGATATTACATATGCATGGGAATACACATTATACATATTTTTTACTAAGATAGTGTTCCTAAGAACAGCTAAGAAATTCTGGGATGGAATTTAGCACTTGCTGAGTTAGCTTTGCTCCGATTATGTGCTTGCTTCCCCAATAAAAACCCAAAGTCATTCGCCATTCATGGAATGCATTATAATTGTGTCGTGAAACTTAAATGGGATTTCTCCGAATCCATAAAGTATATATACTTGTTCAGAATCTCATTATTAATGTTCCATTTCTTAAAACATGTTTTCTGATATCGCTTTGCTGTATTATATTATAATCGGTGTAGATTTTTCTACTTAATAAGAAAAATTGGCGGATTTCAAAAGATTCTTTACATATCTGTAAATGATTTTATGCATATCTAGATTTTTCAATTGATTAACTGATTTGCCTTAACAAACAGTCAAAACTTAATCATATAACCTTCAAAATGTTCTTAAAATATAAATTTTGTTTATTTGCTTGTCATTTTTTTATGTGTAAGAACAGTTACACTGCAAGTTTTATCTTATTTACTGACCAAATAATTGCGTAAAATTTAAGTGGGCAAAGCTGATGAGTCAGCTGATGACATTGACAAGCTCACAAGCAAATCATTATAACAGCAATTTATACTATCAACAAGTCGCTTGTGTATGGCTTAGATTGCTGTGCATATGACTCCAAAGACGAGCATATTTGTTTGAAGATTTAGATCTCAATTAATTGCTGCACTTTTCGAGCATTTGCTTGCAATTGACTTGAAAGCCAAATTTGAGACAGAAGCAATTTTGCGAAGAAAGTCGACTATTAGACCATTATTCAGGCACTTTAGGGAACAACCTAGTTTGTTGGGAACGTTCGCAAGTAAATGACAAAGCCTGCAAATAATATCCTTTTATTTATTAACTGATGCTTGCTGCGTGGGCTCGACTCAGGTCAGTCAACCGTTGGTGCCACGCAAGCTGACAAAAAAGTCATTTTTATGTGCCCCAAATAGAGAGTCAAGAAAATATGATACCGCTTTCAATTGCGTGGGTAAATTAACAATGGAAAAACAGGGGCTAGGATAGTACATATATCAAGGAACACCAATTCCCAGAAATGTATTGTGCAAACAAACGAGGATTTCTAGTCCCGGTCACAGTCACAGTCAATTTTCCTCTTTGTGTTTCATATTGTGTCGCTTTTTTTTACTGAGCACAAATTAGGCTAAAAATAGTCGCCTGCGGACAGTGGCGCTGTTTGACGTCCTTGCATGAGGACGTCAGCATCCGGAGGCTCATGAATTCATTAGATGAACAAAACTCAACATTTGCCCCACCCCTCACCCCACCCTACATAATTATACACGTATTACGCATACGTCGTGTTGTCACTTTTTGCTGACTTTTGCTGTGTGCGTCGACGCCGATGTCAACGTCGGCAGCGGCAGCGGCAGCGGCAGTGGCAGCGGCGTCTCTGTGCCAACTTCCGTCAAACGTTTACGGATAATATCGCATTTAGAATGCATTTCGCTTGCGCCCCTTTGATCTTAAACCAAGCATTTCACATCGTGTGCCCATCGCGATGCCCGTGGCAATGTTTCCAAAAATTATTGTGTTGTGTTTGTTGTGTTTGTTTAGCCATTAAAGGCCGCATGTACCATTCAAATCGAGAATTATATAAAAACAAAATATTTTAATTGTTAATTTTCGAACGCCAACGAAGCAAATGCAAAACAAATTACGAAAATTAAATATTCTGTAGAATTCTGAAAATTCAAAACGAATTTTAAATGCTCTGATCAATTCAGTAGATTTGAATTTGTTATAATATATATATATATATTTATTTATTTATGTATATACTAAGAATATATAAAGAACTAACAGACATACAGCAATATATATCTAAATTCTTAAACTTTGCTAGATTTCTTATATTTAAAAAGTATTCAAGTTGCTGCTAAGCACATATCTATGAAAAGCTGAATAAAGATCACTTTTAAATTGAGATATTAGATACTATTATGCGATTATATAAAGTATATTTATATATATATAACATTTATACGATCGCAGATATCTGGCATATTTCGTGACAAATTTATAGTGCCCCATTGCTACGGTAACAAAGATTCTTTCAGCTATTTTGTTACCGCACACGCGTCGCTGCCGCTGCCGCTGTCTCAGTCGCAGTCGCCGTCGCAGTTGATTCGCAGTCGACGTTGATGTTCGGCCCTGGCTGCGCATTACAAATGGGGCGAGCGGACGGCCTAAGGTTCGGACCGACCACCAACGGCGGCAAAGCACAAACACCACAGCTGCCGAAGTCGTATCGTGTGCCAACTGTTGAATCGGCAAAAGGAACTTTACTGAACAATTTCACCCACCCAGCAGCAACAGCAACAACAGCAACAGCAGCAACAGCAGCAACAGCAGCAGCAGCAGCCGCGGAGCCGACATTGTTGTTGACTGTTCGGGTTCGTCATTCTAAATCGACGACTTGATGCAGACGGCTGCACGGCACGGATCAACCGGAGAATTACCGCAATCGGAGTGTGTCGTTCCCAAGAATTGTGTGTGTGCAACTGGCACAAATACTGTGTGTGAAGCGGCCTCCTTAAAGTGTGTCCAAAAACGCGTTAATCATTTGTCTGTAATACGAAACTAGTTTCCAGTTCAGCGTTTCAAGCATAATTAATTGTGGCGACATTTTCACTGGACAAACTCTTTGGCGACTTAAGCTGCGAGTGCAAGTCCAATTTATGGAATTGAGCAACATGTCAGAGGCAACCAACTTTTATAATGTTATCGAAGTGACCACCAACAGATCAGCGACAACAGCCACAAATCATGATCTGTACAAGATTCGCAAACGTTTGATTCTCTCACTAATTACGATGATCATAGGTGTGATTGGCAATTTGCTGGCATTGATTATTTTGGCGCGTAAAAAGCATAACAAAAACAGTAAATACACGTACATGTTGCGGTAAGTTAACAATAACAAAATGCGCAAATGCATATATATAAACACACACACAGACATACATATAGATGTATATGTGTGTCAGTGTGTGAGTCGAGTAATAGTTGTCATATGTGCTCTGTCTGAGTTCATGGCAGTTGAGGTTTGTTCAACTTGCTCGATTTTACTATGCGGTTCCAATTTACAGCGAACGAAAGATTTAAATTTCAATTCAATTGCGTGTCTTATCTACATATATATACATTTTATTTAATTAACGCAACGTTTGAATTCAAGATTTAATATAGCTTGTTGATTACTTTCCTGGAACATCCATAACTCCTAATTATACCAAGTTCAAATGCGAGGCAATAAAATTTTTATACGAACCATTTCGCCATTAATTGAATTTCTCCAGTGGCTATTTGTATGCCAAGCGTCGAATTCTTCACAAATTCTTTTTATTGTGTGCGCCAAAATTGGTGTTGAATTACCATACATTTTTAATTCAATTTAGTGATTTTGTTTTTAAATACTTGGGAATTCAAACTGACTCTCCAACGAATTATACGTGTGTACATTTGTATAAACAATAAATATAATATACCTTTTATATATGTGTTATATAGATATTCCCTTCGTTTTTTGTTTGCAGTTAGTGAATCTCAGCTGTAATTCATTCACAAGCAAATAACACTTGACTTTAGTTAGAACACGATTTCAGTTATTTATCATCATCATGAGACCAGTAGTTATTAGGTTCAGACCCCCAACCAGCAGTAATTTGCACATTGAATTCATTGAACTGAAGCCTGAAACAGCAATTTGAGGAGGCGACACAAATTATCCTGCGTAAGCGCTGTGTGTGCACTCAAGGGGCATAATGGCCAACAGCTTTGATCTCGGCTTTGATTTGATTGATGATTTAATACACTCCGTTTTGACACTGACGAATGGGAGATTTACATATTGTAGACCCCCGAGAATGTTGGCCCTCTAATCGGCTTATATGTTTCATTTGTGATTGTAATACACAAACGATGTTTGCATTACAATTTGTTATTATTTTGTACGTTTTGCGATTGCAATTTACATTCACTCGAATGGAAAAATCATTGTGTACGCTAAATATTTACAGCCCAACCATAAATCGCATTTGTAATTACAATTTGCAACTAAATCTGTATACATGTGTACACACTATATATACATATAATATGTATATATATATATATATATATATGCGGTCGCCAAGTCAATGTTCAATTTATAAATTATCGACTGCCGGATTTTTTGGTTCTCGCTAGTATCAATTACTTCCCATCCCACGTAGATGCAATCTATATGAATATATTTTCAATTTTCTGCAGACAGTCGAAGAGCGGAAAATATTCACTCATCGCAGTGACAAACGATTCTGCTATGTGGCAAGAGCGACATTTTTTTAAGTTGCTGGAAAAAAAAAATACACAAAAATGTGCGGTTGCACAGATAAACAGAGAACTTATTGTCCTCAAGAGAATAGCAAAAGATTTTAAACGAATGTGGCACAGTCTTGCAGAACTAGACAGAATTCAGTAGTGACAAAGTTTCGGCAGTCAAAAATTTGAATCTGAATCTTTTGAAAGTAGAATTTTAACATGAGTTGCGAGAGAGCATCGCGTTTTCAATTTTTAATACAGCATTATTCTAGAAGTCAAATCATGATAAAAAAAGTCTGGTTTTTTTAAATCACATTATTTTTGAAAATGTTTTGACAAAGTTATGGCAACTCTATGTTTTGAGTAATTTTGGAAGTTATAATTTTAACATAAAATTCGAGCAAGAATCTCGATTTAACCTGCCTTGGTTTTTAAATCAGATCACGTTATGGCTCTGAAATTTTCTAAAAAATATATATAATTTCTAATTGGAAAGTAAGCAAAGCTTTTACATAACTCATTTCCTTGATAAGCTATAACTAACGACTCATAACTACAATATGTTTATAATAGTTTCTTATCAAGCTTAAATAAATAAATGAATAGACTGATTGGCAACTTCCGTTAGAAACTTCCGACTGACATTTTTTTCCTGTTGGATGCGAAGTAATCCGTCTAAACAACGAATAAAGATAAGAAGCAGTTAGTACTATTTGGAGTCAGCGATAAGAATTAGTAATGTGCCCGAATTAAACTTATTTATTGTGTGGAAAACTTTAATTGGGCTATTTACGAGACCCAAACGTCTTGAAGGGGGAGCTGTGTGCAACGTACAACGTACAACGAAACACGAAACACATCAGAATCCATCTGAAATGGCATCAACTGTGCTAATTTATGGCGCTGCTCACAACGCCTCACTAATCCCACATCCTTTTCTCTTCTTTTTCTTCTTGTTCTTGTTCTCCCTTTATGGCACGCCAGCTGCTTGGCGACAAATGATCTGGTGGGCCTGTCGGGAATGGTGGCCGCAACCCTGCTCAAGTTAAACTTTCACGACGGCAACGAGTCTCAGTTTCTTGTGAAACTCGACTGTGTTGGACATGTTGTGTGGCGATTCTTTGGCGTCGGCTCCGGCTGTATTGCCGCTGTGATGGCTGCCGAACGTTGCATGGCTTTGGCTCGACCTTTCATCTATCACAAGGTGAGTAGCTGAGTGCTGTTAAATAAAACAGTGGGGAGCACGCGTCTTAATCGACTTAAGGCATAGAAAGAAAGAAGAAAAAAAAAGGAGCGAGTCTTAAAAGCTTACATTTTTGCAACAAGAGCAACACAAACAAACTGGCAACAAGAACAAATCATTTTTCATTTCCCCTTGACTTCCCTCTTCTTCCAACACACGAAACCAATTTACCAAAAAAAGAAAGAATTTTAAAAGCAATCACAAAACACACTTTACTCTTACCCTAACACAAGAACCCAATTCGAAGCATTATATTATATTATATTTATTTAGGCGACCAGTGTATTCGAAGAAATCATCTTTTCTGAGTCGCAACTGCAAATTACGCTCACATTTTGATCCTTGGACTTTGATGCGAAAAAAAAGAATACTTTAAAAACAATTACGCAACAATTCAATGGTATTTGAAACACTTCTCGAGCCTTCCTCACACAAAATGAAAACAATTTAAGTATTATTATTGCTGCGCGTCTCAGCATTAATTATTTTAATCAGCGACTAACAAGTTTGCGACACACTAAACCTGAGACGGTTCACAATTGATTTTTAATTGTTATTTTTATTGGCATTTTATTTCAGTGCCCTCAATTATCACACGCAACCATTAAATAGGCAAGCATTTTTTTCCTTCTCATTTTGATGGGATAACTTCTGCAATTTCACTAATATTCCTCCCATTTATAACTCGAATAAAGTAATTTTTTTGACATGAACTTTGTGAAAAGACTTTTTTGAGCTAGTGTATATGCTCGCCTTTCTTGTAAAGCTAATAATCCTGCAGTGGCCCGAGTAAATCAAATGTGTGCTTTCATAAATATACCCAAACAGAAATGATTCCCACATCTAACAAAGGAGCTGTTAAATTTTTTATTTACTGTGTAGCACATAACTTATGAGCTAATCCAAAAGTGCGTCGTCAGCATCCTGGTGGTTGCTGCAATCGTCACGTTTCTGCCATTCGTTGGTTTTGGCGCCTACGTGGATGAGTCGAATCCGGAGAAAGTGGTGTGCAAACGTTATCGGGATGTGCCTGGAACTATAAACCGGGCCTATTCCATCTTCTTTATGGCTTTCGGCAGTCTGCTTGTCGTTGTCATTGTCGCCTGCAATTTGTTTGTGGCCCGCGTGCTTTGGATAATCGGACGCAGTCGCAGCCCCGAGCGCAACATGCAATATAATCTCGTCGATCGGGAGAAGAGCGTGCGCAGCATCGATGCGGAGAGCAGCAGTGGCACAACACTCTATCAGAGCCAGTACACCCACAACAGCAGCAACTACAACATGCCACCGCCAAGGCAATTCCATCACAGCAACAGTGTCACAATGCAGTCGGCGACATCGCCGCACGAGATCAAGTTTGCCAAGCTAATGGCAATTCTCAGCATCTCCTTTGTCGTCTGCTGGATGCCACAAATGGTAAGTTTGCTAGCTAGGGGCAAAAAAAAAAGGAAGACAACCAATTACCAATCACACATCGCTCTTTTCCACAGATTGCCATACCCTTGGCCATCAAGGAGCAACGCTTGCGTCCGGATCATCCATTCTTTCTAATCGCCGACGTGCTGATGGCCTTGCATTTCACATTGGATCCATACATTTATGTGCTGAGCCGAGCCAAGGGCATCAATTGGTCGCTGGTCAGCTGCATCAAGCGCTTGCGCTTTGGCTGGCGAGGAGGTCGTCGCCTGCAGCGATCCCAAAGCGAACACACACAAATACGCACCACGACCACTGAGCAGAACACGCTCGACTTTTAGATGGTCAACTGCGACATCGGGTCGCCCATTTTCCTTGTACCAGAGTACTTACACAGATATTTATATACGCAGCATAGTTATGTAATTGGATGACGCGCATCTCAGCAATGGGACACATTCCCTCAGTCGGCAGACAATTGACAAGGATCTGACTCGACTGTCTCCTGTCTCTAATATTTATTATTTGTAAGCTATCATTAAAATCCCACTATCATATCAGGTCTGAAACATATAATTAGTGAGCATAATCTCCACGGCGTTCTCATTATCTCAAAACCCAGACACGAATTGTACAATAAATAATTGCATAATTACATTTTAATAAATAGTGTTTAGAAATCGTTTCGAGTTTTGTGTACAAGTAAGTTTTTATTTTAAAATTTAATCATTACATAATTTGAATGCATTATTTTTTTTTATTGATTTTTTGTTTAGTTTTTGTTTTTTTTCTTTTCCGTTTTTCTTTGTATGTAATTTTTTGGGACACATGCTAGAAAATATCAATCGGTTTTCATGTGTCAATTTAAAAAAAAACAACAACAACAAAAAACAATGTTTATGCAAAATGCAATGAAAATGTCACTAAGATAAGAGTTTAGTTTTGTTTCCTTGTGTTGTTTGTTGTTTGTGTTTTTTTTTGAAGGTTACCCGCTAATAAATCTCTTACAATTGGAGGGGGGCTGCCTCAAAAGTGCGTGGAAAGTTATAGTTATAGTAATGGATTATAATATATATATATATTGTGTGTCTTATGCCCAATAAATCGACACCATCGTCTAGTATCTGTTGTAGCGTCCACGCGCACGTTGGCGTTGCGGCGTCGACTTGGGCCCAGTGCCAGGACCAGCACCAGCACCAGCAGCGGCAGCAGTGGCAGCAGCCGTGGCAGCTGTACGTGGCTTCTTAAGTGGCGTGGCTTCAGTTGGGGTGGCAGCAGCAGCTGTAGCCGGAGTGGCAGCAGCGCCAGCTGCTGCTGCAACTGGTGTGGCTGCTGCTGCAGCGGCGCCAGCAGCCTTGGCTGGCGTCTTCGCGGCTGGCTCCGGTTTGGCTGGTGTCGCTGCTGGTTGAGCGACTGGAGCGGGTGTCGGAACTGGAGTGGGCTCTGGTTCGGGTTCGGGTTCTGGCTCAGCCTCATCCTCCTCCTCCTGAGCCTCCATCTCGTCGCCGTTCTCATCGCCAGCGACTTCCTCGTCACCGCCCTCCTCCTCGCCCTCAGGCTGCTCGGTCATCTCGAAATCCTCATCATCGCCGGTGGCTTCCGATGGATCGTAGAGTTCACCCTCGCCACCTTCGGCCGTCTCCTCGGCACTGCCCTCGGCAGCTGGTGCCTCGGTCTCCTCGATCTTGCGCTTCTTGCGCTCGTTCTCCTCGATGGCGGCGGCGGCGCGCTTTTGTGCAATCTTAGTGTCGCTGGACTTCTCGTTGATGAACTTCAAGAAGTTGCGATGATGGGTGGCGGTGCGTGAGTGAATTTCAGCGGTGGCCTCCGTGTCGAAGAACTTGCTGCAGACGGCGCATTCGAAGCACTCCAGCTTGGAGATCAGACCGGGTCCAACGGGACGCTGCCAATTGTATTTGGGGAGGCGAGTGTCTACCTCGCTGGGTATTTCATCGCCTTCGAGAAAATCGAGAATGCAATCCTCGGGATCGACGGGCAGAGCAACCTCTTCCTCCTCCTGGCTCTCGTTGAGATCTTCACCCTCCTTCGTTTCATCGGCTGGTTCCTCACCCTCTTTGGGCTCCTCGCCTTCCGGCTCTTCACCCTCGGCACCCTCTTCGATCTCCTTCTTGACCTCAGTGGCAGTGGCCTCCTCACCCTCCTTCTTGATCGGCTTCTTCTTGCGCTTCTGTGGGGGACGCAAGTCGCGTGTCTCCTCCTCAGCGGTGCTGATGGGCAGAGTCTGACGCTTGCGTTCGCCCACCTTCGTGTTGTTCTCGGCAGCCTTCTTCAGATGATCGGCCGACAGCAAATGGGTGTCGTAATCGATGCGTGTGGCAAACTCCTTGTTGCACTCAACGCACTTCGGATGCAAGAACTTCTTCAGCTGCAAATGACCCTCGGACTTGCGATGCGTCGAAATGTGTCCATGGAAATTCAGATCGCACATGGTACAATAATCCAATTGGCGCTGCTTGCTCTTCCCCATGCGTTTCAATCGATCGAATTCGATGGACTTCAACTGCTCGGCAATCTTGGCCTCCTGGCGTATCATGTTCGCCTTGAGGCGATAGCTCTCCTCGATACCCTCGCGCATCATCAGATGAGTGCGGCCCTTAATGTGGTTCTCAAACGAGTTGGCGTCCCACATGTGCTTCTTGCACAGATGACAGTAGAACATATCATTCGGCACACTGGCATATGGCGACTCCTTCGGACTGGTTGCGGTGCTAATATAACAATATGGTTATTAAAGAAGCAGAAAATAAAGTTTTATTAGTCATAGATTTTAATAAAATTGGCATGCGCATCTTTTGTTTTTAGAGCATGGCTGACAACAACAGTAGAGAAGTAGTCACGCTGAAAGGATCATAGTAGAATGAATACATATATATAAATATATATTTATATATATATATATAGATACATACATAAACATTAAAATTTCTGGCATTGTTGACTAGGCATGATATATAAATTGCATGAATTATATTTAATGATCGTGTCCTAAGAAATCACAGATATGTGTAATGAAAATTTTGAAAAATTGAAATCAATGAGAGAAAATATATACAAAATTTTCACATTTCTCTCGTTAATTTCGTAACGCATTTTATACCCCTGAAATTTGGTTAAATTGATCAATATCAGATGAAAGAATATTGGTTATAATTAAGCATTAAAAAGGTAAGATTCCAAACATTATAAGATCGGACGCAGAAACACAAAAATACATATATATTACAATTATCAGGGGTATATTGAAAATCGGCGTGCCGAAAATCATTAAAAATTTAATTAAAACCCGACATTAAAACTTCAGAAATGATATTAATGAATATAAAAATAGAAAACATGATGTAAGCTATGCAAAACAAAAGCAATAAATATTTAACAAATAAATAATACGTAATAAATTGTAATCAAAAATCTGAAAATATTTCGTTGACCAACCCGCCCCAAAACCACCCCCCTGCTGACCAGGCTAGCACCTAAAATGGCCAACACATCAACAAGAATGTGTTTGTAATTTTTTGGTTTTTCTATTCAAAAAAGGGGTAAAAATATTTAAAGTTGATATGCCCAACCACTTGAGGAAATTATTGTGTGATTATTTTTTGGTTTCTTATGGAGAGAACAACTTATCATATGCATTAGAAAAAATTGGAAATTAAGTACTTAAAAATATTTTCATATATATATATATTTATATATTTTTGTTTGTTGGAAATATTGATGCATTGATAATTAAAAATATTTTGTAGATTTGTTGTGGAGGCAAAAAATTGCGAATTGAGCAATTTTTCGCTTGATTATTTTTTTTTTGGTAATGTTGTATTTGGAATTGTTTTTGTATTGATTTTTATTTTTGGTATTTTTGAAATAGTAGTAGTGGTTGTACTCTTACCTCTCAATTTTCTTTTCGCCAGGAGTAATTTCCTTCTTTTTATTAGTGTTGGCATTTTTAGCCAAAAGTTTCTTGGCACGATCAAAAGCATTCTGCTTACGAATGCCGCCGGCGCCCTGCTTTTGAGGGGGCTTGGGGCCACTAGTAACGCCACGATTTTGGAAACCTCCTTGGCCACGACGATTATTGAGACGATTGCCGGCACCGCCACCGCGATTGACCATCTTTTATCATGTTTGTTTGTAGTACATACATACATATTTTTACACAATACATTTATAAAGTAGTGTTTTTTTCGTTTTGTTTTTTTTTTTTTTAAGTAAATAATGTTAATTTGTCGATTCGTTTTTGTTTTTTTTTTTTAAATGCATGGAAAATACATGAAATGCACCGTTCGATCGATGTATCGTTTAAAATTGATCGTTACACAGTTATACAAAATATATGATCGTTATATAGATAGATATAATAGCAAAATAGAGCAGACACATATATAAAAAAGTATTATGGTGTTGAGCCATTTACAATATATTAGGAATTATAGTTTCCATTTTGATGTGAGGGATACACACATATAGTAAGTAGATAAGATATATATTTATATATATATGGATATATAATAGATGGATTGGTCAAGTCGGCGGGGCGGTTCGCGTACAATCAGTCGACGGGGATGTTTTTGATGTTGAAATCGTTGGCGTGGCGGCGGCGGGCGTGGCATTTTTGTTTGTTTGTTTGGATATTGTGAAACACAAACGGGCGGGCGGGCATGGACACCGAATTGGGTTATCGGTTATCGGTTTGAAGAGTTCGATTTCGATTTCGATTACGAGTGAGTTCGATCAGAGCAGGAACGTTGAAGAAGAGTGGCGATGGATGTGTTTTTGTATATATATAATTATATATTTATAATTGTATTTTTTTTTTTTTGGTTTTTTTTTTTTGTTATTGCAAGTTGTTGCAGTTGCACCATCAATCAGTACCAGTACCAGATCGGATCGGTTTTTTCAGTTTTCAGAGCAGAGCAGATTAGAAGAGTTCAATCAATCAATCAATCAATCAATCAGTGGCGTCGCATTTTGGAAGAAGTGGCATCGCATCGCATTTACAGTTATATATTGTGTGTTCATTTTTGCGTTGTATGCATTTTGTGTGTTGCGTTGTTTTGTTGGTTGATTGTTGGTTAGTTCGTTTGTTGCAAGCAGCAAGTGCCCCAAAAATGTTGCCATGTTTAATTTGATTTTGTTAATTTTTCATTGTCAAAATTTCGCATTTAATTCATTTTTGATTTTAATTTTTTGGTTGGTTTATGCAGAGTTTGTCACACATAAATAATAAAACAACAAATAATAATTTGCATAAACATTGTCCAAGAAGACAACACACAAGCAACATAAGAAGAAATGATGGCAGAAGGCATCAGTGCAACAACAACATTGCAACAGCAGCAGCAGCAAGAACAACAACAACAACAGGCACAATGAATGCACGCAGTGACGACGACAGCGTCGGAGACATCGGCATTTGATATATATTGATAGATATACACATTTATATATATATATATATTGGATGCATAGGCACAATTGAAATGCGTTTTCGATTCGATTTTGCGTTTTGAGTTTGTTTTTGCAAACAAGCATCGAATTGTTCATATAAATTGTTTTTATTTTTTTTTTTGGTTTTAGTTTTCGTGTAGAAGAGAATAGAAAAGTAAAATATATTTGTAAATTAGCAAGATTTATGATTTGGTAAAAATCCAAAAAAGATTTTTGATATTTTGGTTGTTTTGGTAAATTAATTAAATGCCTAAATACATCTTATAAGAATACATTTATAAAAAATGTCAAAAAACACCTCTCGTATATCGTATATTGTATATCGTATCATCATCATACTCTTTTCATCTTTAAATGGAACATTTTGTTGGCGGTACATCATATTTAAGGTGGTACAAATGATTTCACATTCAACAAATTGTGCAATTTCATCGAGCTACACAAATCAAAAAAATACTGCATTTAAAATGGAATAAATGCTTTTTCTATAGAAAACCTTCTCCTCCTCCTCCTCCTCTCATTACACAATTTTCAAATTTCGCAGCAGGGTTTTTCTCATTTTCCTTTTTGTTGTTTTTAGCAATATAAAATGTATTGCTAATTTGTTGAATTATTTTTAGATTTTACTACAAACTACGCGAATTTTTGTTTTGCTTTAAAGGTTAAATTTGTTGTATCAGATTCTATTCAAAAGCTTATGTCTTAATGAAAATAACAATAAATAGGGGGATATTTCAATTTTCTCATTCTTCGGTGGATGCGACGAGCAGCAATTGCTCAAATAAGGGTAACTTTCACTTGTCTGAATGTTATCAGAATGTGTATGGGGAAAGTATGACATATTTTTAAAAATTAATTAATCTTTTAAGCATTCAAGTAATCAATAAATTTATATAAGAATAAGTTTATATATGTTGGTTTATAGAGATCGATCGATTAAAGACATTATCTTTCAATGAATTGATGTTATAACAATCGAAAATGTAATCTTTTTCATCAGAGCCACTTTGAATGGCTTAAAAATATGATCCAAATGGATATACTCCAGCGATTCTCTATACACAAGTGAAATTGACCCTCGCTCAGGTCAACTGCCCTCATCAATCCACCAGAAAATAGAGAAAAGGGTGTAAAATAAAAATAGAGAGAACTCGGGACATGTTTGATAGCTTGGGTTTAATTAAAAACTGAAATTCATACACATACCTGTCCGCCCCGTTGATTACGGTTGCCCATGCCACCGCGTGGCAGATCCAGCAGCGAGGGTGGATTCTGGTTTCTGAACAGATTGTTAAGCAGATTGTTGGCCAGGTTGATGGCCTGGGCGTTCATTTGGCCCCCGCCACCTTGACGCATATTGTTGCCAAATTGACCACCGCCGGGATTCTGGGATTCCCAGGGTGACATATTCATGCCACCCATGCGATTAGTGCCCATGGGTCCGTTGTATTGGTTGCCGCCACCAAAGTTGCGGTTACGATTCTGGTTGCCACGGAATGCCATGTTTGCCTTTAGATTGTTGCCGTTGCTGCTATTGCCGTTAGCTAAATTTGGTTGCTGTTGTTGCGGATTTCCGTTGACCCTTACGCTGCAAATAATGAAAGAGTTTAGGTTTATTTTAAATTGTAAATTAGTTGACTGTCGAATTTTCTAAACAAACTATTATCAAAGACACTGAATATATTATGTATATAAAATGAATATGGAAATATATTCAGTATCCTTGTGTGGATGTTTGTGAAACGCTTGGCATACCTGACCATAATTTGAATGGGAGTTTGTGTGGGATGATATAGGAATATGTATTGTATATTTCTACTTAGTTTGGATGGGAAAAAATCGAAAGCGTGCGTTTACAAAAACAAATGAAAATCTGTTGGCCGCTGAAAATAAAAACGTCACGTCAAGCATTAAATCTGTCAGGAAGGCAGCAGTCTGATTAGTGCGGTAGTTAAGCATATTTAGTTAGTAAATAAAGTAAGAATAATTTTGAATCTGTTGGTAAATAAGGGTGTCAAAACCCAAGCGCAGATACATACACAAGAAGCAGCAGAAAAGCGTCATGAGAGGGTAGCAAGTATAGATGCATGTATATATATATAAATGTGTGTGTGTGTAATAAAAACGCTACCTGTTTCAATGCTATGCAGAATATATACAAATAAGAAATGAGCACAGCAGCAGTCTGTGAAACTGGTTTTCAACACCGGCTGAAAATAGCGGCAAAAGCAGCGAGCTGCTGGCAAGAGTTGAATGCCTATCTAGAAAAAGTAAGATGGCGGCCAGGCGTGCGTGTATATATACACATAAATATGCGAGAGTGTGTGAAGAAGTCATCAGAAGCCAAGCCGCTGAGTCAGAAAACCGGCGAAAAGAAAACGTAGTTTTTCAACATGCAGCAACGCGTATTAAAGCATTTACATAATTAATGTTTATCAAATACGCAACAAAAATGCCTAAAAATGTGCGCAGTTTCTAATAATAAATAAGCCAAAAACTACAACTGTTTCAATGCGCAAGTTGCATAAGAATATTTACTGTACCCGTTTGTAGCACGATGTACGCTCAGGTCAGAATTATGGTAGCGAAAATCAATAATTAGATTGCAGCCTGGCTGCGAAAAAGTCGTCCAACAGATACACACACACTAATGCAGCAGCAGCCTCAGAATATTTTCACTTCGCAGAAACCACGGGGATATTATTTGTCAAAACTTACGTTGCGGTTGTGTTTGTTGATTGGCTGCTTGGTGTAAAAATATATACCACTGTCCCTATTTGTTTTATACGCTTTTTTAAACAAATCTATTTTTAAATTAAAGATGGCTGCCTGTTGTGAAAATACTTTATTCCCACACACAAACGTGACAACTTCCTAATGTGAGTTGCAAGTTATGTGCATGGCTCACTTCGATAGTGTTGGTCACTTTTACCACACCAGGGTTGATTCTCACATGGGCAAGTGTTGGCAGATTGTGAAATGTTTACGTCTAACTAAGCAGTGCTGCTTTCGATAATCGAAACTAACAAGATATCGAATGTATGGTACCGAGTTAGAATGCGCTCCCAGATTCAAATTACAAATAATGCACACGCTCGTCGTTTATGATTTTTTTTTGTGATTTTATTAATTTGCATAAAACTGACGTATATTTCTGATATGCGTCCTTGCAATGCATTTATTAATTTACATACAAAGGGGGTAAACATTTATTATAAACGTTTCAATAATAGCAATAATAGTAATTATAATAGTTATGCATTTAACTAGCCAAATTACTTCTGTTGTTGCCTTTTGTGTAGCTGTTTTAAGTACCACAGCATAAAAATAGATGCAACAACGGGAAAAACATATATTCTATATATATGATTTATCAATATATATCTTCTTTGTAGGTGTTGTTGCCCTTTTGTGTTGGTTGTGTCTTTGATTCTAAAAATTAGAATAGAAGCTACTACAGTGCGAGAGACATCTATACACATTTTACATTATACAATATTACGCACAAAGTACATCAATTAGATTGGCCAAGGAAAAATTAAATAGCCAAACAACGGGTGCAGTGGATTGAAGGATTCTTAGTTCTCCTTCTCCGACTCTCACTACGGCGGTGACTTTGCGGCTGACAATTACGCGTATGCATTATGCTAGTTTTAACGGATTTATGGATTAACTTGCGCTATTTAACATATATATTTATATGTAGTAACTACACTGAAACACTAACCAATAGTAAGTTCGCAATTGATTATGTTTCGAAAAAAAAAGAAAACAGAAGGAATAGGAGGACAAACGTCGCCGCTGATTCATCATTGACTGCACAACAAACTCGCCCAATTAAAACGTATTTACATATAATAGACTCCCGTCTCCGGCGGCGGCGGCGACGACGTTGCCCACACCTAGTAGAAGAAGAGCAGCCGCTCCTGGGCAGAGGCGGAGAGCAATCGCCAGGATCGCTTAATGCTCACATACTGAATGAAGGCGCGTATGGCAATTAGGAAGCCAAAGGCGCAGATTAGCCACCACAGCCACGAGTTCTCGTGCGAAGCCAGATCCGTCGAATGCTTCACAATCAGCGTCCACTTGGCCAGCGACAGGCCAAAGCCGGACAGGGCACCATAGCGGGCGGCGATTGTGTGACAGAAACAGGTCAGCATCAGGAAGCCAATCCAATTGAAGAGGAATGCAACCATAAATGCCGTAATAAACATTATATCCGTGCCCAATAAATTGTCCGTGGTGGACAGACTGTTTTCCGGATCGCTGGCATTCATGGCGATAAACGTCAGACCCGGCGGACCGGCACGCACAGTGCCGGTGCCATCGCGCAACGGATTTGGCGGCAGTGGCAACAATGGATTCGGCGGCGGCGGCAACTGTTGTGTCGGTGTCAAGGTCAAAAATGCGGGCGGCAATTCTCCATTTAGTGACTTCTCCATCTGCACCTCCTCGTATGTGGGCAGCTTGCCGTGCAGCTCATGCGGCAGCATCACCTCGCCACCACCCTCCTGAGGCGGTGCCACAACCTCCCCGGCATGTGTCGTCACCGTCAACGTGGGCATCTGATGCGGCAACATCACCTGCTGACCCCCATGACCCAGTGCATCCGGCTCGTATGGGGGTGGTGCACTAAAGTCCGCCTTGGGCGGTCCCAGCGGATCATCGCCGGGCTGGCTGGGTGGCTGCTGATTGTTGTGCGGCATGACTGCAAAAAGGTCGTGAACGATGCATATTAATATAAAGTTTACAAGTGGAGAAGTTGGCAAAAAGTTGCTAAAAGAAAAAAGATTTATATTCGAGCTGACGAATATTGAATATCCATGCAGAAATGTGCCTAAAATTATATTCTAAATAAATCAAATTAAATGCTGGATACCTTTGCAATCAAATACAGATATAAACAGACAAATTTGCAAGAATATATAACATATATATAAATATAAATTTATATGTATAAATTAAGAATATAAAGTAAATTCGCCCACGAGTCATAGAAAATTGAGCTTTATGTTTTTAGTTGTTTTGATTCATTTCGCATTTATTAAGGCGACGTCATTCAAGTTAATAAATAATTAATTAAATTAGTTTTGTTTGTTGTTTTTTTTTTGTTTTGTAAAATGAGCGGCTAGCTGCCAAAATTGCATTGCATTAATACAGCAGTTTCAGTTAATAATACTTATTTCCTTTAGCTGCAATTCGGAAGGCACTTAATACTACAGTCGGTTAAAATCAAGAGAAAACAAATTTAGAGTTAAATAATAATAGAAAAAGAAATAAAAAACAGTTTAGAACAGTTGAAACGATGAAGAAGTAGTTAAGTTAAGAAGGCATTCCGTTGTTTGGTTAGTTGCACACCACTCCGGCTCCTCCTCCTCCTTGCCACTCTCACTCAGTGCCTGGCTCTCTCGTGACTGCTGGGAGTTGACTGGAGATAGGCCTGCTCCATGGTCAGGATGCGATTGTGATGCGGTCCAAATGGACGACGCGCTATGCGCGACGATTTCAGGCCATCCACTTCGTCGATGCCTTCGTTTTCGAAACCCATGTCGCCCACATCTGTGCCTCCTCTGCTATCGTGTAGCTTCTCCTTTGCCTGTTTCTCGTGACGGAGATAGAGCACCACACAGCACATGGCCATAAAGATGACGGCGAGCGTGGCACCACTCACAATGCTGGCCTTCTCGAACATGACACGATTTCGTGTTGGCAAATAGGAGCCATCGATCTCTTTGTACTCGCAGCGCGGTCCCATAAAACCCATCGCACACTCGCAATTGTAGAGAATCTCGTTGTGAATCTCGACGGTGAAGCAGGTGGCATCATTCAAGCAATACCACGCGGCATATGTTGGCGGGCAATTGAAGATGGGAAATGTGATGTTCGGACGTGGCGAAATCGTTGTCAGCGCAATGACATTGTCCGGCGGCGGGGAGTCCGTTGGTGGCGCCTCGGTGCGAGGCTTGGTTATGGCACGCGATGAGCAAGCGTCGCTGGGCGAAATGCAGGCGGCAAGCAGCAACAACAGCGGCAGCAGCAGCAGAAGCCGTAGCGGCAGCAACAGTTCTAGTGGCATCTTGGCAAGACTATAGCATGGCAGGCAGGCAGCTGGGCAGGCAGGCAGCTGAGGCTGGCGAGGATTACGTGAACGGTAAATGTGTCTTGTGGCACGCGTCTATGTTTTGTGTCTTGTGTTTATTGCTTGTTTGTTTGTTTGGTTTGCTCTTGTGGTGCTGCTGCAAACAGAATAAAAGCAAAAGTGCAATTATAAAATCAACTCAAAATTTAGAAATTATACTTTTGCAGTATCTGTGTGTTGTTGCTGTTGTTGTGCTTGTGTGTGTGTGCCGAGCTGTGTGTGCGTGTTAGTTTTGTTGCCTGCCTAGGCCAGCCGCCTTGCCCTGATTTTCACTCCCTGCTAAACAGCCTCCCTCTCTCTGAGTCTGTCTCTCTGTTTCTGTCCCTCTCTCAGACTAAGCCCCGCTTTTGGGTTTCTGGGTTTATCGACCTGAGTGGAAAATAACAAAAGTAGCTTATTATTTAACAACAAATTACAATGTTTTATACAAAAGGACACAAATAACACATTTTATTTACCTGGCCGAACTGAGAGCTGTTTTTATTTTTGGTTTGCACAGTTTGCACTTGTTTAATTTTCTTCTTTTTTTTAACTTTGATATTTGCACTCTTAACTTTTTGAAATAAAAAACACGCGTACAGGTTGAATGGCCTAAGCCAAGGTTTAGGGTATTCCACAGATCCCGTTTTAATCGAGAGAGCGATGAATAAAATACCACCTTATAAAAGATTCTAATGTGGTTTATTTTCCCGTCCTCAGAAATTTGAAATTTCCTCAGACTTTGAACTATCAAAAACGTTATTCTAGCTATAGCTTTCTCAAAGCCAAACTGACTTAAAAAAAAAGATCTTTCAGTTAATATAATTTTATATTTGTTCTCGGTTGAAAAAAGCTGAATGTATTTGATGATTATAATTTCTGTACAATTTCGGATAATACGACACTTCGAGGGACCACTGTACTCAAGTTTATTATTAGACTGTAACTCATTTCCGTTGGCCCACTTTATGACTAGCCCACTAGAATTATTCCTCTATATATACATATATACTCACATACCTCTTGACTTGTATAATAATTACATGTTCCTCAGACTTTTATAGTCACTAAAGCGAGCCGTGTTTTAGTTCTAGAAAACACAACCATATAATATATATATATATATATATAAGCATGTAATTAAGGGACATTCGCCAACTTATTTTATGGCTAACTGTTTGTCCTTGAACTTAACGGTAGTTTAGTGCCAAACAGCAAACGTGCAAAGGCGCTAACTGTAACTGTAACTGTAACTTTTCTGTCTGGTTCACAAGCAAATAAACGAGTGCAATTAGATTGACCTTATGGCCAATTGAATACATGTGAATACAATTTGAATAGCTTGTGCAACGCTTACTTTGAGTAGTCAAATAAATGCGTAGAGCTGTCTGTAGTCTGTAGACTGACTCTATGGGCTTTATGTGCAGAACTGGGCTCAGTTCCAATTAGCAACAGCCCCAAAATTGGGGTCACCAAAAACAGACAAAAACATAAATAAAAAGAAAAGACACGCAAATGCGCAGTTTGTTTAAGTTCCAAGTTCGAGTGCGGTTTCTGAATCTGTTTCGGATTCGGATTCGGATACCCATGTTGGGGATGTGGGCGAGCGTGTTTTGGATATATAAAGGCATGACTAGAACACTATATAATTATGCTTGAAAGCTACAGTAGACATTCGTGAATGACAACTGCCAAAGATTGCATCATAAGTGTTTAGAAATCGCAATTCTCATCTTAAATTTAAAAGAAATCTCAAATAAATAACTGAAGAAATTTTAGTTGCTGATTTGCATATGAATGGTTATTCAAATTCAAGTTTGGTTTTCTATAATATTCTATTCCTCTTATTTAAGCTGCATTGTATGAATAGATAATTTCAAGAAAAAATCAACGTTTTTTTCCTCAATACTGTATTCCACTTATTTAAACTGCTTTTGCTGTTTCTAAGTGCCAAGACTCATTTTACTTACTAGTAATTAACTTGTAAGCAGCCACTGTGCATGTGTGTGACACTCATTCAACCACTTATCTGCGTATGTATTTGTAGCGTGGCGAAAAAAGAAAAAATAAATCGCTGATTAGGCCACAGTCTCTCTGTGAGGTATATATATAATAACAATGAAATCTACTGATAAAGGCACTCAGCTGAGTCACTTGTTTGTGTACACACATACATGTGCATAAATGTACATTAACTCGCATTACAGAAAAAAATATGGCATGAAATTAGCAAAGAAAATACGAATATGGAATAGAAAGAGGGTCAAACAAAAACAACAACAACAAGTGGTGGCTTCGTACGACTTGACGTGGGCGGTGGAGAAATTCAATAGAGCTGTATATACGCACACACATATATAAATATTTATATATTTATATGATATGCAGGTAGTTGGCTAACAAAAGCGTAGGCAAAAAATACTTTCCAGCTAAGAAAAAAACAATTTGTTGATAAGAAATTTGAGCGCAACGACAGCTGCAGCCGCAGTTATTATTGTTAAGGTGCGCTGTTGCCACATGCAGCAGGTGCGAGTGATGCACACACAAATACACACACACTGAAAAAAAAAACTTCTGCAGCTGCGCCCTAAACCAGTTAAACGAGACGTGAGCTAAGGCGGAAGTGGCTTTGTTTGGAAGTTGGATGTTGGAAGAGACCTTAAGAAGCTGCTTCCGCAAGCGACAGCTTCCAACACAGTTGCATGCAGCAACCTGAATGAACATGCTCAAACATACACACACACACATAAATATACAGGCAGCTAGAAACAACCGTTATGCATTTATGACAGGGAACCTGCATGTTAAAACAAGTTTTAAAGGCAAACCTCAAAGATGACAACTAAGAATAGAACACAGTGGTCGCTCGCTAATAACGAACTTTTTAAAATTAATCAAAAACAAAAGCCAATGTTTTCAATTAATTTGAAATACTGCAACAAAATTAGAGCAAACAGAAAAATAGATTAGAAATTCTAAAAGCAAAGAGTTAAACTTTTCGAGAGCAGTCTGTAGTTTTGTCCCACAAGAGCAGCTTTGTTGTTGTTGTTCTACGTATTGCTCGTGCTCGTGCTTGTGCATGGATGTGTATGTGTGTGTTTGGCTGTGTATGTGTACGTTGCATGCATTTTATTCAAGAATATAAAGAAAAAAAGCCTCACTTGTTGTGCAAGGGCAAATGAATAAAATTCAACTTGTGTAACAAAAATATGAAAATCAAATCAACGGCTATTTGTCACACCACTTAGCACAATGAAAGGAAACCTTTTTAGCACCGAGCACAAATTTCAGCAAGATTAATATGATTTATTTGTTTGCTAATCAAAACACAAACAAGAACACACACACACACACGCACACACACATACATACATAGTTGTAGCTAATACACACACACACACGAATGCAACTCTGCAAGATGCTCCCCTGGAGCTGTTTTTTTTTTGTTGTTTCCCCTCTTTAATGCAACCTTTGATTGCATTTTGGTTGGTTTCTATTTCTGGGCTACCCCAATAAATGCTAAATGCAGCAGAAGCAGCAGCAGCAACAAGAACTCGGCACACCCAAAATGCCTAATTATAGGTTTGACAACAATCGAATTTGAATTTAGATTATTTTTTGATTTCTTGTTTGCTATTTATTCACCTTTTGCTGTGCGTTCGTTCGTTGATTAGGTTTTCACTTTTGCGCAGCGCGTTCGCTTTTAACGAATGATTTTTATTGATTTGCCAACTGAAACTGATGACAAACACCAACACACACAGCAAACTGATGTTGCAATTCAACTTATATGTAATAGGCGTTTTTTTTCGATAATTTTATTTTTTTTGTATATATATTTTTTTTTTTAATTGAAATGGTTTTTCAAATATTTCGTAATTTAAATGGAACAAAACAAATGCGACTGCTTGAGCCACATTCTTCTTCTTCAATAAATTTGAGTTCGCTGCTAACTTCACGCAGCTCACTGCTGCGTCGCGTGACAGTGTTGCAAGGCGTTATACGCAAAATACCACAAAATACTAACTTAAGTGTTGTAGGCGCATCAAGAAAATTGTAAACAACGACGTGGAGTTCAATTAAATTTTCAACTAAAAATATGAACAAATTCGAGTTAATATTATGTGCACTCTTGGCACTAACTAGCGTAAGTTGCACTGACTAATTATTAATTATTTGTAGTTAATTATATCCAACCCGCAGTGCCTGAAACACACGCATGCCGAATTTACGGCAGCTGATTGCCGGGAATTGGGCTTCATTAAAACTCAACTGATGTGCTCCAATTGTGATAAACTAGACGATTTCGGACTGGAGACATTAAAGTAGATATTCGATTTGGTTACTATTGATTAGTATTAAAGGTCTTTAACTTCCCCTTAGACCGCATTGCAAGGAGTGCTGCACACAGGATCAGCAGACGGCGGCTCAGAGAACCTACGCCAAGGCGATCCTTGAAGTTTGCACCTGTAAATTCCGTGCTTATCCGCAAATTCAGGCGTTCGTTCAAAGCGGTCGTCCAGCGAAATTTCCCAACTTACAAATAAAATATGTTCGTGGCTTGGATCCGATCGTTAAGCTGCTGGATGCCCGGGGCAAGGTGCTAGAAACGTTATCGATAACCAAATGGAATACGGACACCGTCGAGGAATTCTTCGAGACGCATCTATCCAAGGAGGGTGCCGGAGGTGGAGGAGGCAAGAATTCCTACAGTGTCGTCGAGGATGCGGATGGTGAGGAGGAGGATTATCTGCGCACCAATAGAATATAAAAATTATTGCAAATTATTATTTATCATCCGCAGTAGTCAAATGTCAAATTAATAATAAAAGGTAGCCTATTTTTTAGGCTTAATTCGCTGCCAAAGCAAGCTTTTCGATACAGTTTGAATGCCACAGCTGTGAGTACAGTTTGAGAGTCCGTTCGTTGATTTCCATGTTTGCCGCAATGCGTCTAAAATTTTATTGGTTCACTATATTACAAATTAATATGTATTTTTTTGTTATCTTGGTTATCAATTTGCGAATGCGACGTCGAAATCCAATAACAATATGTAGCTATTGTTAGAACAACGTTGACCCCTTCTTCGCCCCCTCCCCCTCCCCCCACACAACACACACTCCACCACCTTCCCCTTACCAAAGAGTTAAATTTACCTCATAAGTCGTCTGACGTATGACATATTACGGCCCCCGCCCAGACATGTCAAATATTTGCTCAGATTGTTAAATAGTCATTCACTAAATTGGCATAGCAAATAGCAGAAAAAAAAGAATGTTTTTCTATGTTTAATTTTGTTGTGTGACAACTTTGGCTTATCTACTGCGTTCTCTCTCTCACTCTCACTCTCTCGTTATCTCTGTCTCTCTCTTTCAGCTGGCTGGGCGCATGTGCACACGGCTTTGTGGCCATTCACAATAGCGAGAGAGAGAGAGAGAGAGAGAGAGAGAGAGAGAGAGAGAGAGAGAGTGAAGAGTGAGGTTATGTTAATCTGTCTTATATTTATAATAATAATGCTTGACTTGCACATTATTTTATACTATATGCATCATGCATTTGTGAAATATCGCCTGATTTGCATATATTTCGATTTGTTCTTATTGTTGCCTTTATTGCGCTTGTTGTCAATCTTGTTTTTGTTTCTGCTGGGGTTATTTATTGTTTAATCATAGCCTGATCCCACAGTGGGGCAAGCTATACTAAAATCACTTAGCACTGAAAAAAGATCTTAATGCAAATTTAATAATATATATATATCCTGGTGTATGCTTATATGGTGAGCGATTGTCACGCCCTATTTATTGTTATTGTCCATAGTTTGGCTTGTGTTCAATACTAATTACTTTATTTATGGCAATTCTATTCATATTGCATTATTATTGTGCACGGCAGCTGCTGCTTGAAAGAGAGAGAAAACGAGAGAGACAGGGTGCTTATCAGTGTGTGGTATAAAAGCGCATTCAACTGTTTGGCAACACTAAATATATGCACGCATATATATCAATATGTATTTGTGTGCATGTATGTGTGTACGCAAATGTGAGGTGGCTTTGAAATCCCCCCCTGGTTAGCAGTATGGGCGCTGGCTGCGTCTTGGAATGTCGTTGAAAGGCGCCCCCTAGATTGCTACATCTGTAGTTGTTGTTGATTTCCACTCGTGTTTGCTGATAACATTTGCGCCTTTCGAACCACACGCTAGAGAGAGACAGCTGAATGTGCGAATCCGGCAGAGGGAGCGGTCGAGCCGATAACAATAATAATGATGCTATAGTCAAAGCGTCATCGTTTCCATTAGCGAAACAATTTAATTTGATTTAGCACTTCATTAACAGGGAAAAAAAAAACTAAATGACGAACTACTAAAAACCGAATCAGAACGAGAGAGTTCGCGAATCTTTCGCTCTCTCTCCCACTCCCGCTTCTCTTTTGTGCGCCTTGCCTTTTTACCGTTAACAGTATCAGCAAAGTCAAAGTTTTTCAAATTAAAAGCTTGATTTTTTAATTGTGAGTTGCGTTCGCTCAAAAGGGTATTCAACTTTTGCCCGTTCATATGTAACACATTTAAGAAGAAAGTGTGATTCAGGAATGGATGTTAATTTAAATCAATTTGCCCAATAAGCTTAATAAATTAAAATAAAATTACCTGCCACCTGTTTGAACTTATATTAAGCATGAGATATTGGGTATTTCAGCGTCGACTCATAGTTTTCCAAGCTTGTCCTAATATTAAAATGTGCTTACAAGCACATGTTCCAACATGTGTCTTTGTGTGGGTGGGCGCGCTTTTAGTCTCTCTCTTCTCGCTTCCTCTCTCGCTCCTCTCTCGATTTCCTTGCTGAAAGGTAAAAGGCAGTAGTAAAATAGGACCAAGTGTCATCCGCATTGAACTTTGCTTACTAAATTTAGCCGCTGCCACAAACTGCGACGCGCTTATTAACAAAGCAGCGCAGAAAAAATAGCAAAAACAAAAACAACATTTGTAGCCAATTGTAATCTGCAGCCAATGTATATATATATATATATGTATATACATCTATGTGTGTGTGTTTCTGCTTTGCAAATAAATATATGTGGCCATTTATTGTTGTTGGTGTTGCTGTTGTTTTTGTTTTTATAGATTTACATGCTTATGCACATTGGTACACATAAATTTACGTGCAATTATTTGCATATTCAAGTATTTGTATGAATTTGCCTGCTGCACGCGCACGTATAAATGCCAAAGAAAGAAAATGCAATGAAAATGGGTTCTTTGCAATTGAGTCGGCAACAGGTGGTTTTTAAAATTAAATGTAAGATTTATTTGAAACAAATAACTGTGTTATTACATTGAATATACTCTTATTCCTGTTGTTTGGATTTTGTTTCCGTAAATTTAGAAATATAATCATATATTACATACACAATTACTTAAGTTGAATTTTGTAATAGTATTTTTTTTATATGCATATTCTACATATACATATTTTCGCTTTAATTCGAACGAGCGCATTAAAAAATAAAATGAAAACATAAACACAAAACACAGCAAATCAAATAAAACAACAAAAGTTTTTGCTGCATTCTTTTTTTTTTTTGGTTTTTTAAATAATTTTTTAGTATATTTTTCTTGTATCTATATTTTCAATGCGCTTGTTCTCTAAACATCGTTCACAAAACATTATTAATAATATTTATATTTATATATTTTTTTTGTTTTTTCTTTCGCATTTTTTTTTTAGAGGATTTAAATTTTACTTATGTAGTTTTACACCTAGAATTTTACAATGACATTAAAAAAAGGAAAATGTATGTATATTTATTTTATGCAAAAATCTTTGTTACTAGTATAATTAACAATATTATGTATATAAGTTCTGGTACTCAATTAATAAAACGTTTTGCACTTTTTAAAGCCTGTTACTTGCTCATCTTCTTTGTTGTTGTTCCTTAAAAATTTGTATTTATCGTATTCGCTTAATAAATTGTAGACTCTTCAACTTTACTTAATTTCCTCAATTTTGAATTGGTTTTTTTTTGTTTGTATTTTGTATTTGACTTGGAATCGAAATAAAATATTTGTAGTTGAATTTTGGTACGAAGAATTTTATGCGTGTGGTTTAATATAGACTTTTTTACGATTTTTGTGTTACATTTTTTAATTCGCCTCCTAACTATGTATGTAAATTTTAGCTTTAAGTTTTGTAAAAAAATGTTTGAGTAGTTCGTTTATTTGCTTTTTGATTTACATTTGGTTGTTTTTTTGTATTTTTTGTTTTTGTTTTTCATTTTTAATTTCGTTCAGTTTGTCGTAAGCAGAGCGAATCATTCTGCTGCAGCATCCTTAGGTATCCCAAGAGCTAGTGGAAGCATCTCAACTTATCGGACCTGCAACAGTCTGAGGCGCCTCTGCTAGCTGGCCAAATATAAACTATATATTTAGCTAGATTTGTGATACTGCGTATTTTGGGCGAGCGAAAAATTGAATCGGATTTGTTTTCTTTTTTCTTAGTATATTTTTCTCTTCTATTCTGGCAATGGGTATTCGAAAGGTGCTAAGAAACACGCTTTTTGAATTTAAAACGAATAAAGTTTTTATATTTCTTTTACATCAGAGGAAGAAGGGTCGGTATCGAGATATCGGTTAACTATAACGGTCAGCGGATCTTAAATACTAGTAATTGCTTCGACGGCACGTAAGGGTGATAATATAACTGTTTGCTATGTTGGGAGTGTTGTGCGGGAGCGGGGGGAGGCGAGAGGGGGTGGGGGTGTGAGTGCCTTTTCATGGCATTATTATCTGTTATAAATAGTTGGTAAATTGTAGGTTTATTTTACAGGAATTTCATTTGTTTTTATTTTATTTATGTTTTGTTGTTTATCTTTTTAGAGAACGTGTACAATAATTTGGTCGTAGGTCTAAGACACTTTTTGGTTTTAATCCTTTTCCATAATATAAATAAATACATATACATGTGCATGTATATAATTGTTATATACAGAAAGTAGCGTTACATATTTATAGTAAAGTAGTTTGTAGTAGGTATTTTCGTGACTTATGTGCGTAGTTAAGTAAAATCTGAGACTCGCTGTAAAATATATATGTATATCGTAGGTTAACGCTTAACGGTTAACGGTTAACGGTTTCTCTGCCTGGAGGGAGGGTCTCTGTGCGAAGGAGTAGGAGTGAATTTGGAGGGGAGGGTAGAGATATGCTTTGGGGGGCACACAAAATGACTTTCAAAGTACACTTAACACCTAAGGTTTTTCTTTTTTTTTTTCTTTTTAATTTTTGTTTACGAGCTAGCTACACAAAGCACATAAGGGTTAAGACGGAAACAGGGAGAAGGCGTGGGACAGCGGCTGCAAGGAGTGGGGACAGGCACGGGGAGAAGGCGAGGGCTGCCATCTTGGATGGGAGTCATGGTCATCGTTATCGTTATCATTATCGTTAGCTTGGCATTGACTTAGACTTAGACTTAGTAGAAAAACTTGCGCACTTCCTCATCCAAGTCGGTGGATTCGACCAGATCATCCATAACACCAGGCACAAGCAGCTCAATCACCTCCAAATCCTTTTTATCCTTTTCGGCAGCAGCAATTGCTGCTGCTTGTGCTGCTGCTGCTGCTGCAGTCGCTGACTCCTGCTCCGCAGAGTTACTGCTGGGAGTGCTGGAGACAGCAATGCCGGCCTCCATCAGCGCCTCGTAGGTGTCCTCGAGCAGGACGCCGCTCTCGATGGCCGCAACAGCCTCCTCATAGTATCAGTTGAGGTCGCGACGAAAACTATCCTCAATGTTCGGATCGGCGATCATAATTGGATTCTGATCGGATAGCATTTGCAACCCCGCCACATCCATTTGACCCAAGTCGAGATCTAGTGTATCGAAGATCTCCCGATTGAAATCCGCATTCGAGGAGTAATCGCTAAATATTATCGACGGTATATTGGCTGTGGTGGGCGTATGGCTTTGCGATTGAACCACCGGATGGTGATGCTGCTGCTGATGGTGGTGTTGATGGTGTTGGTGATGATGATGATGTGGTTGCTGTTGCTGCTGCTGCTGATGATGATGATGATGGGATTGTGGTTGCTGTTGCTGATGATGATTCATGACCATGTTACTCACTGGCGAACTACTCGACAGCGGCGAGTTCGAGTGGTGCGGCGAATGAAGCGGTGAGTGGTGTGGCGAGTGGTGCAGCGACAGCGACAACTGCTGCTGATGCTGCTGATGCTGCGGCGATGCGTGCGCCGATGATATCGGTATGGGCAGCGGTGAGCTCGGACAACCCATTGGCGATGGCACCGGCGAGGCGACCAGCGTCTCACCAACGCAACCACCACCATTGTTGCTGCTGCTATTGTTGTTGTGATGCTGCTCGACAACGACCCGGTTGCCCACTGGCCCATTCAGACTAGGTGCACCATTGTGCGTTGCTGCATTACCCGAGCCATTGCTATTATTGTTGAGGAGTTGCTGTTGTTGCTGCTGTTGCTGGTGTTGTTGCTGTTGGTTGTTGATGCGTCGCAGATTGTTGTTGTTGGCGCTCGTTTCGGGACTGCCGCTCAGTTCGTTAAAGTCTAGAAGTTTGTTTTGTGCATCCTGATTGTGATAGGGACCATTTTGACTGCCATTCGGCAGTCCACCTCCGCCGCCGCCCAAATCATCAAAGTCCAAAGCGACAAAATTATTGGCAAAACTCTGTTGCTCCGGCGATGAATTGCTATCGCCCAGCGAGAAGTTCTCAAAGTTATTGTGAAACGAGGGATTCAGACTGTTATACGATGCATCAAAGGCACTCGGAAGTTGCTGTTGCTGCTGGATACGGATGGGACTCGCCGGTGCACTAGTGTGCAGCTGTTCACTCCCCGACACACTGGTGAGCAGGCCGGGCGAGGAGCGCGGACTCGAGGGATGGGCTGGCTGGCGATAGTCGGTTAGATTGCCACTGGCCACAGCTGCTGCTCCAGTTGTTGTTGTTGATGCTGCTGCTGTTGCTGTTGTGGTGTGGCCATTGTTGCTGCTGTTGTTGTTGCGATTGGCGCCCAACGTGGGCAATGGACTGAACGACAAGTGCGGCGAACTGCTCGGCGCCTGAACGGTCGTCGAGCTGCTGTTGACGGAGGTTGCTGTTGGTGAGTGTTGCTGCTGATGGTAGGGCGAACCGGGCGGACCCGCCGGACTAAACGGACTGGGCGACTGATCCCGATCCCGTCGCTGATTGTGCGGCGACATCACCGGCGATAGCGTCTGATGTTGTTGCTGTTGCAACTGTTGCTGCTGTTGTTGCTGGGGTGTTGGTGCGTAGTGTTGCAGTGCGGTGAGATTGGGCAGGGAGCCAGTATTGGCGTAGCTGGCCTGCTCCTGCAGCGGCCGGAACAAAGAGTTTGCAAATTTGGCGGTGTATGGCGTTGGTTGTTGTTGCTGCTGCTGCTGTTGGTGCTGCTGCTGCTGTTGGTGTTGTTGCAGTTGTTGTTGTTGCTGCTGCTGCTGATGCAGCTGTTGCTGTTGCTGTTGTGCTTGCAGCTGCTGCTGCATATTGTGCTGATGCTGTTGCAACTGTTGCAGTTGCACCTGATGTGGCAACATTGGCGATTTTCTTCTCTGCGCCTGCGGACTGAAACTGCGTCCAATTGGATGCGGAGAATGAGATCGTTGACTGTGCGACTGTTGCTGCTGCTGCTGCGACTGTTGCTGCTGCTGTTGTTGTGTGTAGTTGGCGTGCAGCGAGTTCATGTCGGTGGCAAAGCCGCCCGCCTCCGCGGCCACCGCCATATTGAGGCTCTGGTGCAGCGCCGAATCCGAATTGGAGCGTCGCCAATTCGTGTCCATGGGTGGACTCAAATAGAGGTTCTGTTGTTGTTGTTGTGTGCCATTGTTGTTGTTGTTGTTGCTGCTGCTGTTGTTGTTGGTGCTTATGTTGTTGCTGCTAATGCTGTTGCTGCCGCTGATAATGTTGCTGTTGGGCAGACCCATGGCATTGACGAGAGCTCCAGCTGCACTATTGCCACCATAGGGCGAACAATCCTGCTTCCGTTCCGAGGGTCTTCTCATGGGTCCAACTCCCACACTGCGTCCACGTGACTCTCGATAGGCTGTGGGTGATCCACCCCCACCACCACCACCACCGCCTCCACCCGCAATGCCATCGGGTGAGGCGCCACCGCTGGCACCGCTCCCATTTCCACTGCCACCCCCGGTGCCATTGCCAGCTCCTGTTCCTCCACCCGCTCCTTGTGCTGCACTCGTGGCATTTGTGTTCTCCGCTCCGCTCAGACAGCATTCGAGTATCTTTTGATTCACTTGCGTCTCATCCATTTTTGTGGCATGCACCTCCTTCATGATCCGCTCGAATTCGGCGGTGCCCTCCGCCTGCTTCTGCTTCTGCAGCGCAATCTTCTCGCTAAACTTGCGAGGATTGGCCATCTTTGGGGTTGTTGTTTTTGCTGTTTTCGCTGTTTCTGTTCCTGGCTGCGTTTAGTCTGCGAATATAGTTAGTTAAACATAATTGCTATGATTGGGCATCGTCATGGCATTTCAATTGTTGAGGAGTTTGTGTTTTTTGCTTTGTTTTGCTCGCTTGCCACACAACCATTTTATCAGGCTTCACATCGATTTCAGTTTCTCTCTCTCTCTCTCCCATAAAGTTTAACCTCAAAGCAAAGGATTTCAAGTGGTCGCAATTTGAATACACTCCTTACCCCTATCAAGATTTTTGTGATAAGAAATCACAAAACTTATACAACTCTAAATTTAAATAATGGATTGGATACCCATTGCACGCGAAGCAAGCAAACATTACTGAAGAAATAACTGAGGAAATGCGATAATTTCTGTGCTTCTAACAAACCGGAAATACTTCAAAGAAAACAAGTGACTGATTTCTGAGTTACTCAACAATGAGTCTTTTTATTTTTCGGAATTTTAGACTTTAAAATTCAAGGAACAAGGCGGTTGAAATAGATCGCATGCCACGAGCCAGTGTTAGGGTAACGCTAATGTTTTTGGCTTTATCATTTGTGTCCGCTGATAAGGCAGATAGTTGGGCCAACAAATCAGACATAGCCATACCCATAGCCATAACCTTGTGTCGTCTCTCTTTCTCTCTCTCTCTCTGCCACTCTCTCTCACTCTATTATTGTCTCCGTTTTTTGGTTTCAGTAATTTTTCGCGTTACGTTGTTGTATACTTACTGCCCCCCATTGCATAACTAAAGCGATATATAAAAAAATACAAAAAATAAGAACCAAAAAGGGCGGGAAAAGCCGCATTGCAAAACAAAGTAAATTTATAGTTCTTTGGAACTGTCTCAAAAATATTATAGGGGCAGCAAGCAACAATCAAGGCGGCAGGCCGCCAACCTGCCCAGCTGCAATATGCAAATGCAACCGCGAATTGCGTAGCAAGCATTCATTTTGCATTCATTTGTTGCGTATGGGTTAAAGTTGTACCAGAAATGTCTCAGAAAACAACACGTGAAGGGCATTTGCAGTGGCGTTTTTATACTCTGACAGCACAGATATCATAGTATATTCGTTTGATCAGACAAAGTGTAAGAATTGGAGAAGAATTCCCAAAAGCCCATAACCATCGAAGTTTAAAAGGCAAACTTGAAGCAGAGATTACTAGGAGCCTCCTCTAAAGATCGGTATTTCTTGGCTACACTCGTCCTGTTCTATATCACCTTATATCTGATTGGTATCAGAGTATTTGGCAGTCGGTGACGTTCTCTCTTGTTTGATTTCTAGTCTCGAGTCAAAAATATTCTATTATCAATCGATTGGGGCCCCAAACTAACTTATATAAACTGGTTCCACAGCTTCAACTCAACTCTGCTCAAAACTGATGAGTTGGTAACAAAAGGCTTACCAGAAAAGAAAAAAAATAAAGAACAATAAAACCGTCAACAAGTTGGTAGTGGAAAGAAGACTACACAAACACATGGCTTTATCTTTGGCAACAACATGTGAATAATATGAGTGATAGAGCAATCGAGGTATATGGTATATGAAGTCATGCCTAGTCGGATGAATTCTTATCTTCGGATTGGACATAGATCTTTAATCGTGCTCGTGACTTCAGGAAAAACAACTGTCAACTGATTAATCAGAATAAAGAGAGTATGGAATAAATGTGAATTGGAGGCCAGTTTACAAATTGAACAAAGGGTTCCAAAGTTCTTCTCGGCATTTACGAATTTCTTTTTCAAATATATATAATATATACCCACATATAAACCCAGAATTAAATAGAATTTAATAACTACAGTTTAATTCCTGGCAGTTAAACGATAAGTATTATTACAACTTGTTCTATAATTATCTAATGTTATTCTAATTATTGTACATAATTCTTGTATATATATATATACATATATTAGTTAAGCAAACTTTCCCAATACTTGTTTTTCTCGTTTCTCCCACATACATTGACCGCATGCAAGTTATTTCAAATAATTGGGCCGTGCCAAGAACAAAAAATGAATAATTTATAAGTCATAGAGTTTCCTCGCATTAAGGTTGACTTATGGAATTTCTTGACGTAAAAACCCCAGTTGAAAGTAGAAAATTAAAATCAATTTTCCCAACACACATGTGGATATCTGAAGCCTCTCGCAACGATCACCATTTCCAGTTAATTGCCCACAACAACGACACGATTGGTGACTAACAATTCGGAAGTATCTTTGAAAACCAATTTTGGCTACTCTTGACTGATTTGCAATTCAGATCAGATATGCCTAGAACAGCGCGTGCCCCATAAGCAGAGGAGTGTTCCCTCTCCGCCCCCTTCCCCTTTAATTCATGGTTGCCAGCTGTGAGGGGGCGGCGACAACAGACCCCGATAAAAGAAATAAATAAATAATAAAAAAAAAATAATAAAAATAACATTCCCACGAATCGATAATGACATTTAATAATGATTTAATAACCGCAACGATAAAATGTTAGTTAAGCGTACATGGCCCAGGGTCGCCATTGGAAGCGAGCCGTTTTTGGCCCTATTCCCTTCGCTATGCTCACTTTTTTTGGGTTTGTATTTCAGCTTGGTGCTTATCAGCTGCTTTATCGCGGGCAGCGGGCTGCGGGGCCATGGAATTTTTGAATAATTTTGCACTGTTTGTTTACCGACCGGACACGGGGGGGACGGGTGCTGTGATGGCGAAACGTGTGAACAGCGAGAAGCAAGAAGAATGTTAATAGACAAAGTGTGTGTAACTAAACAATACCCTGTAAGCGGATTGGAATTAAAGTCAGATATATATACAAAAAATACCTGTTGCTTGTTGCTAAAATATATTTTGTGTTTAATATTTGTCTGCTTTAAATATTTAATATACATTTAAGATAAATATTTAATCTACATTTACAATGCAATTATATGAGACTCCAAATTTACTACTATCGTTTTCTCATTTAACTCATTTTCTGCAGAGTATAAAGACATCTATGCGAGAGAGAGAGGGAGAGAAAACACCCGCATGTCCGAAAGTTGCCTTACACACACACACACAGAAACACACTCACACACATGCACTTACACCGATGCACAAATGGAGCGCCGGCCGCTTGCAAAACAAAACGAACGCTGCATTTGAAGAGAGAGGGAGGAAGTAGGATGAGGGTGGGGGTGGGGCTGTGATTGGTAGTCTAGAGGGCCTTTGTTTTTGTTTTTTTTACCTACTTGTCAAGTTGCGCGCTTTAACAACAGAATCAGTTGCTCTCTCGCTCCCACGCACGCACGGCTACGCTCTCTCTCTCTCTGGCACGTTAAGCGCTCTCTTTTGCTCTCTCTGTGTGCCAAACTCCAATTGGACGATTGGCTGTGCAAAAATGTCGTTGGGTTTGTTGTTGTTGTGTTGTTGTTTCTTAATTAAAATAAGTGTGTATTATATATTATATATTATTATGGCTCTGTTATGGCAGAATATTTTATTTTGGCGCTTTTTTTCGTCTTTTCTACTCTCTTCGCCCAGCTGCTGTTGAAGCTTTTTGTTGTTGTTTTGCTTGTTTTAAGCTCTGCGTAGCTTTTTGTTTCCTCAACTGCGTCTTCTTCTTTATACGCGCTAAAAAAAACTTGTCAGCCGTTTATATTATTTTTATTATGCGACTGATAAAACCAGATTTTCTGATTGTTGTTGATTTTTGTTTGTTTTATTTTATTGTTAAATACCAAAAATTGATTTCTAATTTCAGTTTTGAGCTTTTGTTTTTGTTGCTGCCGTTTGTTTTTTTGTATTCGCGGCAGTTGGGAATTTCTTAATGGCCGCGCGCAAAGATTTTTTTGTGCTGCTTCTACTGCTTGTTGTTGTTTGCTCACTCTTACACACACACAGACTCACACACACACACACACACACACGCGATCCGCTCCCGTTTATTGTTTTAACGCACAAAACTACGACGTTTTTTTTTATTTTTGCGCTCAGCTGCTTGGCACTTTTATTTTGGTTTTTTTGTTGTTTTTACTTTTTTCCTTTTTTTTTGTTGAAATGAAAAACTTTTGTTGCGCTTTTGACCTCTTTTCACACCAGCGTCGACGTTGACGGCGACAGAGGCAGAAGCAGCGACACTTTAAAAACTGTATTTTTGTTTTTTTCTTTTCCAATTGGACCACGCTAGGCAATTCCAATAGGGCGGCGGGATTACAGCACGCAGCTGGGGCCCGTTCCCATTGACGAATTGTGCATTTCCTTGTTACTACACACACATATACATAATCATATATATATGTGTGTGTGTATATGTATATATGTGTGTTTGTTTGTATGTATGTAAATTCAGCTAATGCTCCGATTTGGCTTTTTTTGTTTTTCACCAAACCACACACACACGCACGCACTCACACACACGTACACACTCGCACGTACACGCACATAGAGGCAGGCAGGCTTTTCATATATGTATGTGTGTATGCTTGTATTTATGTATGTTTGTAGGTATGTATGTTTGTATGTGTGTATGTATTATGTACACACACACGTATTATGTATGTTATTTTCGTTGCACAAAGTTATCATCACGATTATTCGACTGCTGCTGCTGCTTCTGCTGCTGCTGCTGCTGTCGTCGTTTCTTCTTCTTTCTCGTTCATCTTCGTCGTCGTCTTTTTTTGTATTTTTTTTTTGTTTTTCGTTATTTGATTGGCACTTGGACGTAGCAGGGGCACGTTTTCATTTGTTATTAATTGAGCCGCGTTGCATTCGCCCAGAGTTCTTGTTGCGTTTTTCAAGCGAATTTATTGCATTTGTTTTTTGTTATTTTCACTTTTTCTTATTAGATTTCTGGTTTTAGCAGCAGTGACTAAGAATACACTAAAATTGGTCAAGCGCGTGGAACGGAACTGGTTTGCCACGGAGCTGCTGGCGTTCGTACGTTTCGAAATGAACCCGCCAGATGGCGTTTGCCGCTGGTATGCGTCAGAACGCTAAACAGTTACGCAACTGTGGTGAACACTCAACTGTTGTGCGTTTTATTTTTTAAATTTTATGGTTTTATTTTTATATTTGGCATTGCACCAGGTAAATGGGTTTTCAAAGTTTACAAATTGTACATAAAATAAAAAAACACTATATTTATAAGTGGAAAGTATAAGTTTTAATTCTATTTAAATTAATTCAAGCTTGGATTATATAACACACATCAACACACGCAAATTGCAGTGATGTGTGTGTGTGTGTGTGTGTGTGACGCCCATTTCCTTTTCCGTTAACATTTTGTGTCTGGTTTCCGGCATTTTTGTGCGCCGTTTAAAATTGTTTCCTTAGATACAAATCTGCAGCAGGCAACAAATTTCGTTTTGCAGACACTCGAATGCCAATTGCCAGTAAATTGCCGCCTTCGGGTAAAATAACATTTAAGTTGTTCGTCTTCGTCTCCTTCGTCGCCAGCTTTTGCTTCCTTTTCCCTGAAAAGCAAATCAGCAGCAGCAACAAATTCTAGTTGGAAACTGACAGGCAAAAATTGAAAATGCGACCGCATTTAAATGATTTTAACTCTAAGAAGAGATTGATGGGTAAGCAGAGCGATAGTCTGGGAATGAGGGTGCAACTGAGAGAGACAGGGAGAGGGAGACAGAGGGAGAGGGAGAGAGTATATGGCTTTTGTTAGAGATTATATTTCTGCATCAATTAAAAATGAAAATATATTAAATAAAATATTCTATTGAATTACAGCTTCAGACTTCACACCTATTTCTGTATTCCAATTCACAATTTATTTAATAAATGCTTAATTTAATATTATACACATATTCATTTTTGAAGGTCTCAAAAATGCCTCAAATATCTAACACTTATTTCTATATTCGCATCCCATTCGAACCGCTTATTTCCAGTGCTCTTCCATTTAATTAACAATATTATACGCATATTAATTTTGAAGTACCTTATCATTACAAGGCCTCTATCACGACCCAGTTGTGGTTGTTGTTCATCTGCCATTATCATGCCACATTTTACTCCGCTTGCCCCCCCACCCCCGCTCTGAGTTTGAGTTTATTTTTATCAGTGTCGCCTATCAGTTGATATCATCATTCGATTCTATGGCTGCCACTTCCCAAAGGCAATTGCTATTTTTTCTGATTTCAAAAATTTCAATCAATGTTCACAAACAGCGACTCGCAAGGCTTCTTTCTTTATTTTTTAATATTTTTATTACTATTCTTTTTTGCTGTGTGTGTGTGTGTTTTTTAAAAGCATTATTTTATCGGTGCTGCGCTCAGTCGAGCGTCGGCCTTTTTGGCACTAACAATTAAAACTAACGGCAGTTGACGCAACATTTAACGGTACCCAACATTTATACTTTTGTCTGTGTGATGAACTCTTAATAAAGCCATAGCCAGCTGTAAAATTAAATTTAATGTTGCACAAAAAGGCAACAAAAAAAAAGAAGTGCTTCTACACCTGTCCTTAAGCTTTCAGTTCATTAATAGCAGGATTGCATGCAGCACCAGCAACTATAAAAACAACTGCAAAAAAAAGCACTTGAAAAAATACGTGAACTAAATCGATATGTTAATCTGTAAATAACTTTCGCTTCGAAATCTCTTTGATGTTGTGCAAGTTTGTTAAATGAAAATCTATATTTTTTATATAATTTGTTAAACTATAAGTATAAAAATATATAATTATTATTTTTGTTGTATTATTATGTATTATAGAGAGAATTTACAAATATTGAAAAATATTGATAGAGAAATTTGATTTGATTTTGTGAAAGCTTGGAACACTAAAAAAAATAAAACGTTTTCATAAAATTTGTCAGAGTTTATATAAAAAGTGCAATTAAAAACTATTAAAAATAATTTTACCTATTGAAAAAGAAATACAAATTGCAGTCGTTGAAAGATATCGAAAAATTAAGAAAACATCTAGAAACATAGCAGTATCATTTGAGAGCAACCACTTGGAGAGAATTGAATGGCGAAACGGAGGCGAAAACATTTTCACGAGTTGCCTCTGCAATCGTTGCTCGAAATGCTATTGCAAAACAGAATTATTGCGCTTTTGTCTTTCGAGCCTGAAAATCTCACTCGTGCTTCCAGCTCGTTATCGTCTTGGCTGCCGGAGCACAACAACAACAACAACAACAAAGACGACAAGAACAGCAACAGTCAAAACAACAGCACAAACAGCATCGACGACAACAAGTGCAGAAACAACAACGCGAAAACAACATCAACGACAATTTCTTGTTGCTTGTTTGTACGCCAGGCCGCAGAGACAGCAAACAGCAGAAGTGCTAGTCAGACAATTGGCGGAAGGGTGGGCTCCATGTGTAGGGGATGTTAGGGTTTTTGGGATTTTTGGGAGTAGACAGCTTCCCGGAACTGTTTCCGTTTGTATTTGTTGTCAACGACAGTCGAGCACTTTAGTTGTGCACATTAAACGAAGCTGCTTGTGTATGCCACACACCTCTCTGCACCATCCCTTGCACCACCCCTTAACCAACCCCTACACCTTATGTAACTCGCTGATTTGTTTTTTATTTTTTATTTTGCTTTGTTTCTCATGAAATTTCAAAAGAATTGCTCGTTTATTCATTGAATTACGTCGGAGTTGGCGAGTGAAGAATGCAATTTACAGCATCTAGAACATGGATAGGAACAATCCCCCTTGCACCCTTGCCCCAATGCTCCCCTCTTCTCTTTAACTCGTTGCCGTAACAATTCCAAATGTTGTTCTTAAGCGGCTTAATTGCTGCCAACTACTCTCGCCTCCTCCTCACTCACTGCTTCAGTGTCTCGTAAATCTGCAAATGTGCCAAGTGGCAGCAGCGTCAAAGGCTTTCATCATTGTGCGTAGAAAATATTGCTGCTGCCACACAAAGTCGAACAATTGAGGCGTTAATAAGCACCCCCCTCCCCATTGAGTGGCAGCACAAATGTTGTGCAACATGTTGTATATCGACTCATAACGACTTTGTTTTTGTTTGCTTGTGTGGCATGAAAGATGTGAACGATTTGTGATTAGAGAGAATTTTCAGGAATATCTCTGAGGTTTTTTGTATATTTCTGTTGCTCTTTTAGTTTTATATTTAACGCATATTTATTGTGGGTATTTTTTAAAATTTTTAAAATTCTTTAATGTATTTATATTTATGTGTTTTTTGATATATATTTGTATACTTTTTCACTGCTCTTTTAGTTTTGTATTTAACGCATATTTATTGTTTTTCTGTTTGTCATTTTATATTAAAATGGTCTCATTCTTTTTCTATAATATATTTTTATATATTTTTTGTTTAAATATGTTTTTGTATATTTATATTGCAACTTTTGTTTCGTATTTAATCCATATTTCCTATTGTTTTTTTTTTACCTTAAAATAATATAAATAAATTTGCATAGCTATTTATTGCCCCATTTAAATTTTCAATACACAATTTTTGTTGTTATATATATGGTAAAAATATAAACAAATCGCAATACCCACTGCAAGGACCCATAAAAAGGCTCAAAGGCAAAGTTTGCTGGCTACTTATGCGTTAGCCACTTGAATGGACCCCGTCAGCAGTTGGCCAACAATGAATGGCGCCATTCATTGGGCTAATAAAGAACTTAAGGTTAGCGCCATTCGCAAAACTGTTTGTAATTTTTCTATTCTCTATTGGCAGAGCATGGGGAATAGTTTGGTTTTGCTGATGCTGCTACTCGCCGCCCTGGGCCTTTTGGGTGCCTCATTAGTAGGCAAAGTCGTCAGCGAGTCAGTTGAGATGCCAGGTGAACGTGTGCTGCGGATGATTCCAGCGTCAGGTAAGCAGCGTGGCGTATACTTGATGTGTGTTGGCGGTTGTGCTGCAATTAAGCTTATTTATCACGAATACGCACTGTGAGCGTGTGTGTCAACAGCACAGATACGCTCCAAGAGGGGATGGGGAGGGATACGTACGGAGAAAGGTGTTGGGGGGGGGGGGTTAAATGTCAACGAGTTCGTAAATGGTATTTCGCATGCTGCATTTCGTTGCACCAGTTTAGTTTTTGTGGGTCGCCACAGATAGCGAAAGCGAAAGAAAACTAAGCAAAAAAAAAACCTCAAAAATAACTCAAGTTTCACTCGCGCATTCTATGAGAGAAGAGGAACTAAAGACGCCACAGTGAACACTGACTAAAAGTGGCGGCAAACTATTAACGAAAGTATTTGAATAACTTCGCTTATTGGCAGCAATATTTAGATCATAAAATTGGAAGCAATATTCAAATTTCCAAAAAACATTAATCTAAAATGTAGTTACAATTTATAAACCACTATGAAGACTGCTCTTCTTACCTAAGTTCCAGTTAGTTTCCCTCGAGTAGCATTAACTTGCATCCTTAAAATTTAAGTATTTCTCTTCACTTTAAATTACCGCAATAAATTTTAATGTCGCAAAGCTAAACTTTAAAAGTCATTTTTTAGTAGTTAACAAACTCAACAGTAAACTGTTATCAAGGAAATAATCTTTTTATTTACCGCATATTATAAATATAAAGTTTAAGTATCATGATTAAATAGTCAACAAATTTAACCATTAACAAAGAAATAATATTTTTATTTTGTATTTTATATTTGTACTTTAAATGACTGCCATAAATTATAAACTCATATTAAGAACCTCAAGCTTATGGGTCATATTTGAATAGCCCACAAATTTTACCATAAACTGTTATGAAAGAAATTAAATTTTGATTTATTATATTATATTAAATATTGTTCTTCCCTCTTAGGAAGTTAAGACTGTGCTGCTTTAGATCATATTTTAATAGTCACCAAGCTTTTAAGAAAGAAATTACATTTTAATATTCAATATATTTCTTCCTTCTTAGGCAGTTAAGACTGTGGTCCACTAGATCGTTGCTTGCATTGTGCGTCGTTTTCTCGCCTTCTTTCTTTCCATACTTCTTTTTTGCACGCCTTTCGTCTGAAGCGCCAGAAGCACTTGACAATTGCTGCATCCGCTTGCCGCTGACAAGAGACGCTTTCCGCTTTCCACTTTCTGGTTTTCACTTGCTTCTGCTGGCTTCCGTTGCAGCATTTTGATGTCACTGGTGTCATTTGTCACGCATCACAGTTGCTGCTGCTGCTGCTGCTGTTGCTTGTTGCAGTTGCCAGTTTGTTTACAGCTGCTGTTGTTGTTCCTGTTGCTGTTTTCAGCTGCTGCTCAAGTGTGTGCCGAGTTTATTCTTGGCATCATTAAGCGTCGCTGATAACACTTAACACACTTATGTACACACACACACACACACATTGCAACGGCTTATGTTGCACGACTAAATGCCAGCCAGTTGCCATTAAAATGTAAAATTGTAGTGGTCACACAATGCTGTGCAACATTTCAACAATAAGGGACAGCAAAAACACAAAAACACAAAAACACAGACAAATTTAACAAATTTCACTGCAACAAAAGTTGTTGTTAACCTTTTTTGTTTCCGCTTTTTGCAGCTGGCTGACATTTTGGGTCAGTTGTCTCATTTATTTGGCGTTGCTCGACTTTAAATTTGATTTATTGCCGAGCAGCACAGAACAAAAACAGCGAGCAAACTACGAGAAGAGTTTGCAAAAGATTTTTAAGCTTTATTAACGTCAACATGGGTCGCATGCATATTGCGATGAAACTTAAAAAATGATTACGAACAAGGCAGCATAAAAACTGTGCGAGCGGAGACAGTTGGGAAAAAATACTTAAGTTCCAATTATGAATAAATGTAGCGGAAAGTGCATGAATTGCAAATGAAATCAGCTTGAAAACTAGCTGGAAATCAAATGAAAAAACTGTTAAAAGAAAAACGGAAAGTACTTAAGCGTAACTACTTGCAAAATGTTTGAGCAGGCTTCAGCCAATTACTGTTCAACTCTCTAAGTACACTTATTTATCGTATGACTAACGTGCCCCATTTAACCTACTAACAAAAAAAATTCGTTGGCGATTGCAACTGATTTGCCATTTACCTTTTTTTATGGGGTAGTTTTCTTTTTGGTTTTTTTTTTATTTGTTGATTATCAAACAATTTGATTTCTGCTATTCTTTGCACTTTGTGCCACAGTCATCGCAGACAATTTGATGAGTATGGCCGTTGATTGGCCGGTGGCATCAATGGTAAGGAAAGCCAAGTAGCCCTTTGTTTGGCCATCAAAGTCAGTAAGTTGTCTAATGGCTGCAATTTGATATGCTTATCAATGATTCATGTCCGCATTTGCCAATCACCTGAAAGGCAACTACAACAACAAACTAAGGACGACTGATTAACTACGATTAGACGATTCATTTCTATAGCAATTGTTACTAACCTGACAGTTAAACTCAAACAAACTGTCTAACGCACAACCTGGGAAATCCGTGGAAAGTGGACAGACAAAAAGACAAAAAGAAGATGGCATCATAAGTTCCACAGAGTCTGAAGTGGGGCAGGCTGAAGAGCAGACAGGACTTTGGTTTTAGAGTTTAGCGAAATTACATTTCTTGTTTAGCAGACACTTAAGAGCCAAGTTAATTCTTTATATTTTGTTGCTTCTATTTCTCATGTTTTTTTGTATTATTTTTATATTTTTTTTCGTCTGCAGCACGAGGCAGTTTTCTGCTCTACCAATTAGCAACGGCCATAAATTCTGTAGACTACCCCTGGCTGGAGGTGGAGCAGGAGCAGGAGCAGGAGTTGCTCGTGGCTCAAGAAGTGGACTCCAGCTGGCTGTCTGCAATGGCAAATGAATTTCAGGTATGAGCCACTTAAATTCATATCGAGCACAGATAAACCCAGATCTCCTATGCCATCCTCTAAAAAAAAAAAACAAAAAATAACATAAATCACGCGCCGTTTTTTCTCATTGTTGCTGCCACTACGCTCTGGGCATTTCTAACTTTTTCGACTCAGATGTCCGTTAGTGCAATGGGTTCACGAGCACGTGACCATGTCTCTGGACAGGCTTCAATGACCCAGCATTCCATTTGGAACAGAGCACTTCCCTGTACAGAGTTTAACAGCAATGTGAATTTTAAACAGTGACTTTTTGTTTGTATAGTTTAATTTCATTTACTTTTTTAGCTCTCGAAAATGTGATTAGCATATATATATATGTGTTTATATATATACATTTATTTACTACCAGTTCTTGGAAACTTCATTAAAAATTCTCTAAACGCATTTATGATTTTTAAATTGTAAATTCTTTATTGCTTGAAAATATATTACGTATACGCACAGGTTGGTTAAATGACTCTAACTAACTCCTAATTAAAGTGCACATTTTCTTTGGCTTCTCTAACTTATATATAATTTTGTCTTACATATACAACCATCAACTAATTATTTAGCTTGGCACTTAAATTCTATGGCAAAGAAATAAATTTCATAAAATCAGAGCACAAATCAATTCTGTATCTGGTCGAAGACTGCATGGATATCAGTTACTGTAATCGCTGTTATTGAATATTTATGGCCTGTGAGCCTTTTAGACCAGCTATCATAGTAATCCAATCTCCAAGTCCAATCAGTTGAGCAGTTTGGGTTACGGTGGACAGCTTGAGGGCGTATTTCGAGAAAGTTTCTAATTATTGGCCTGGCCAAAATGGATGCGTCTCGGGATTGTTGCTCCTGTGCCAAGCAGCAAAGTTCTAATATTTCGCAGCCATTGGGGAACTTACAGCAGATTGTTTGCTGTTTGCTTTGTTTTGCTCAGCTTTGCTTTGCTTTGCTTTGTTGCTGCCACTGCATTATCCAAGCTTGGCTGGTAGTTGTTGTTGGTCCTCTTCCTCCTGGTTGCCAAGTGCTCTTGTGTCCTCCGGTTAGCTGCTTTGAATTTTTAGATTGTCCAAATCATGCAAATATTTTTGCATAACAATACCAATAACAACAACAACAACCAGAACAACAAACAATGTGCGTCCGTCTTGGCTTATTATTTTTTATTCTGCAACGATTTCTCCTGGCTGTTAAATATTCTCATATTGAGAAGCAAACGCATTTAGGACCCTCTTATGCTCTCCATGGCGCCACTAACACGCACTCAACAATTTACTTTTAATTTTCAAATTTAACACTCTGGTCTGTCTGATTTTTATACCCTGAACATGAAAAACTGTATAAAAGGGGTATAATTGTGCAAAAGTATGTGAGAGGCAGCTGGAAGCATCTCCTGCTTTGATAAAGTCTATAAATCTTCATGATCAGGTTCAATAGCCGAATAGGGATAGCCATATACGACTCTATAAAAGGATGTAAGTTAACAGCTATTTCCTTTTATCGAAAACTTCATCTGTTTAGCAAATATCGATACAAATTGATTTTCAACTATTACATTGACATTTTATTGATTAATTGTGCAAATTTCATCAAGATCGAATCAGAAACATTCAAGTTATAGTTGAATATGTATGATATCTTAACAGCTGTGTTCAGGGTATCTCGCAGTCGAGCTCAATCGACTATGACATGCTTACTTGTTACTCTCTTACTAGAGCTGAGAGCGTGTCGAGATTGACATCGTAAGACAACAATGAAAGTGTGACTAAAAGGAGTCAAAGTTGGCAGGGCAAAGACTCAACTTTAAAACAAACTGTCTGCTGTCGCACTTAACGTTTCTCTCTCTTATATAGATATAGTTTAATGAAATCCTCAAAATAGAAATTATCAATTTGTCACGCTCCCATCTCTAGCCGTTAGAGCTGCTGCTGTTCATTAAACGCTTGTACAACATCTTCGAAGATGGCTTGGATTCTTTAATGTAGCATGGCGCTTGCCAAATTGCCAAGTTTACTAGTTTGCAGGCGCGTCCAAGCTCTTGTTAAAAAACATGTACAAAAAAATGTACACTTGGGATTACTTTGCTTAATTCAACTGCAAATGAAAAGTGTTTGTTCGGTAAATTCAATCTGCCAGCGTCCTGTTGACGTTGTCATTACGCCTTGGCTTGGCTTGGCTTGGCTTGGCTTGGCTTTGCCTCTTGGTCCTGTATCTGTTTAAGCTCTCGGCTCTGGCTGCGTTTCTGCTACTGTTGCTGCTGCTGCTGCTGCTGCTGCTGCTGCTGCTTCCTCCGTTTATGGTTATGGTATTTGGGGGCAGATGAGACAGTGTTCCCGCTCTCGAGTTCATCAAAGCGTAATCTGCACAAAATGGCGGCATTTCCTTAGTGTCGCATGACAAAAAAAAAAGAAATAAAAAACAAGAATGGCAGCAACTTTAAGCTAACTATGCGTCCTTGAGCCCCACGCCTCCGCAAGCCGCTTACGTCTGCTGTCAGGCTGCTTGCCGTGAGCCGAAAAAACGCCTCCAAGCACCCCGTCTAATGGAGTCATAATTCTTCAGCTCGTTAGCAGCAAATACATGCAACGTAAATATGCTTGCCCCAAAAATAGAATGCCACACATTTTTCCCACATCTCACATTTTTGCATACCCAGCATTTTGGATTCATCTTTAAGCTTGTTGTACACTTTTTAAAGGGGTGTGTGAGAACTTGATTTAATCTTGACTTAAGCTAAATTACTACTACTACAACCATAATTTATAAAATAATAGCTTTCTAAATTTCAAAAGGCCTAAAAAAAAACATTTTAATATTTTATGCATATATTAAAAAAATTATATTTTTAAATGCTTTAGTTTTTATTCCTAAATAGATGATATGTTTTATTACCAAGCAGGGTATCTTACAGTGCAGCTCAAGTTGATTAAGTTGCCCTCATTTGTTTGCCTTTGCTGCCTGATGTGGCAGTGTATTAAGCCTTTTTACCTTTCTGGGCAACGCCTTGGCCGCCCAACCTGACAAGTTGCTTAATTGAAAAGTGTTTTGTTGGGATTGCTGGCAGGCAGCGAGCCGCCACGAGCCGACAACCAGAGAGAGAGAGAGAGAGAGAGAGGGAGAGAGAGAGTGCCGCCAGCTGCTGATTTTGCAACGTTTGCGTTTGAATTCAATAATTTGGCTTTATATATGCGCGTGCTTCGTACAGCCATAGCCAAAAGAATAACAAGAAGAAGAAAAAATATCTAAGAAAAAGCGAAAGGACATCAAGAAAAGACGACAATTTTTCAAGGGTCTTCCGCTTGGGGCTGGCCTTCTCGCTGTGCCTTGCCTTGCCCTGCCTGTTTCTGCTTTTCTTCTGCTTTCCGGCTCCGAAGCCAGAAAGGCAGTGCCACTTTTCATTGCTTCCTCTAGCGCATATCGGAGTCGCCTCTTGTGCTGCTTGTCTGCCATAAATAATTATGTTATTTTAGATAGCTTCTTCTTTATCTTTGTGTTGTTTCTGTTGTTGTTGCCTCGAAAATTGTTGCAATAATTATCACATTTTTCACACCGCCATTTTTCATGCACTCAGCAAACGACACTTCAAATCTCTGACAGCTTTTTCCCATAATTAAGCAAAACATGGATATATATACATACATATATATACATACATATATATACATACATATATATATATATGTATATATATGTGAATTTATTGCCACACCCACCGGCACAAGCTGTCTCGTATTTTATGCTTTATGACAGACATTAGCGCGATAAGCATTCTTTTTATGTATTTTTAATTAACTTTCGTGTTGCCAGTGTGTGTGGCATATAATCCCACTCGAGAATGTTGCTGCTACTGCTGCTGCTGCTGCTTGCCACAACAAATTGGCCAATTCAAGAGCTGCATTTGCAGCCTAATCGGCTCTGGTCTTCAGCTTCTTTGTTTTCATTTCAAGTGTTTGTCTGCTTATTTTAATTAGCCAACGAGCGATGTTAAGTGAAATGTTGCAAGTGTTTGCTTGGCTGCCCCGTCGAGATTCGCTGGGTGTTTAAATTGGGCAAATTTCGTGCGCATTTAATAAGATCTATTAAATTTTTGGCCAGCAAAATTTATAGACTGCAGTTTGTCGACCCGCATCGAATCTTCTACTGGTGCACACAGCAAACAGAGCTACTGCGTTTACTTTCCTGTGATTGTGATGGCAGCAGAAGTGCAACACTCTCAACCAGTTAAGCACCTTGATAGGGTCGCTTAAGCAGTTTGTGCAACACTTCGATATGTGATAAATGTATTGATTCCTGGGAATTTTTCCTTTTTAACGTTAGTTATTGTATTTAAATCTAAGTTTAGAAATATTTCCATTTCGTTTAATGTTATGGAACTGCTTTTATATAGTTTTTGCAGTGCTCACATTTTCTGACATTTAAAAAGTATAAAATTTAATTTTGAATTAATTGCTGGTGTCAATATTTATTATTAGTCAACGCGATTACGCGATTTCTGTCCTGATTGCATTTATATGTCAACATTAAAGCCTTTTATTAAATAAATGCAGTGCAGTTTAAAAAATTAATAAATATTTAAAAAGTCATTAAAATGATTCCTTGATAATTTTCAGTATAAACAAATGCAGAGCCTTAAATTTGAGTGTTCAATTAATTCTTTGACAGTTTCAAATATAGATTTAAAGAATCATCATCAAAGAATTGATCTTTCAGATTTGTAGCTCTTCAACTGTGGATAATCCGGCTTAAATGTTGATATAAGAATATGTAAATCATTAACTCTTCGAGCCAGTCGTGTCAGTACGTACTAACTTATATATGTATGTATATGAAACATGGCTAAAATGCGTTGACGCTGTTTGCTGCAGCTTTCAATTAAGTTGCTTTCGCTCGTTCGCTTCCCTTTTAATTAGGGACCAAAGTTTCTCATTTTTATCGCTGCTGCTGCTGCTACTTTCTAGTTGCTTTCCACTTTTGGCTGTTTAGTTACCTTTCAGCTTTGTTTCCTTATTAATTTCATGTTGCACTCGTAATTGCAGGTAAATATCACATTGCTCACACGAATCGCTCCACAGGAAATTAATTTTTGGCGCTCGAATTGCGCAATAAACAGCAGTTGACAGTTGACAGTTGCCAGTTGCCAGTTGCCAGTTGCCAGCATTTAGCATGCTGAAAGTATGCTTTGATTTTGTTTAATGACTCGACTATTTGATAAACGTAACAATTTAATTGCAGCATGTTCCTGTCCATGAGAGTTTTCCCATGGACTTTCAGACCTGGCTTGTGGACAGTTATGGAATTAACACCCTGGACGTCTATCAGAACTGGCCGAGGAGGCGATCTGGCCAAGCTCAGTCGATATGTAATGCTGATGGTCAGTGCTTTGAGGTGGCTGAAATTGTAGCCGCATGTTGTCCATTTTGAGGGGGTGCTCACTGTGTGTATGCCAAGTAAAACGCATTAAAAATCATTAATAGATCAAAAAGATATCAAAAAGTTATCTGCATAGTCATGCGGCCAATGACCAGCAATTATTGATAGCCAGATTGGGAGTACCGTGTGTCCGCAATGTGACCGTTAATTGTTGTTGCTGTGGTTTTCCTCATGGCCAACTTGCTGTTGCTATTTCTCATTGGCAAATAATCGAGCTACAGCTACAGCACTCCCAGCTGGCCAGTTGCTGCTGCTGCCAACTGCAGCGACAGCTGTGGCTGGCCATTTTATACCCTGTGAAACGAGGATTGTATTTGTATAAGGAATATAAGCTATGAGAGTGCAACAAAGTTAGCAAACACTCTCAGAAAGTGGTAGATTGAGGAAGCATACACCAACTGCATAAGAGTTATCAAGCAGTTGACTATGATATTGGTTAAAAAAGGAGTTTCCTTGCTAAAGGTAAGTCGATTCAGTTTAGCCTATAACATTGTTGCATATTGGGAATCTCCGAGTTGACCACTCAACATCTTTGAGCCGCTTCTGTTTGGGCATTGAGTTTTTTTATGCGTGGCGGCAATCAGTGTCATGAATGTTCAAACGCGTTAAAAAAGAAATACAAAAAAAAAATATAAAAATAAAAACGGGAATCAACAGTGGCAGCAGCAAGAATAGCTGCAGCAACAGCAGGAAAAATCAACATGCAACAACCAAAAAGCAACAACTGAGACAAACAACAAAAACAACAACAACAACAAAACGATAGTTGCTGTTTTCAGGTTTAATACCCTCGGGCTAAAAATGTCGATAAGGGTTGCACATCATTTAAGATACACGACAGGTACAGGAAGTAATTTATCTGTATGTACTTGCAACTGCTGTATCTTATGTATCTGGATCTTATGTATCAGTTGGGAATTATAATGAAGTCACAATATATGTAAAAGGTAACTTATAGTTGTGCATTTTGCCTTTAGACTTTTGCCTTTTGCTTGCACAGATTTGTTTTTGCCTTCTTCCTGCCCGGAATTGTTTTCGCTGCTGAACATTGTGATTTTCAGCGTGAAATTTTATTCAATCTCCACGGGCAGAGGACAATGTGCTGCCTCCTCCTGATGGCGATCCACAGCTTCAACTATCCGTTGATGGACCATTTGAGGAAAGTCGTACGAAAAAAAAGATGTAAAAATAAAAATCGTATTCTGAGTGTGTTTTTATTGGTCGCCATTTATATGTGTTTTTATTTAGTTGCATTTTTTTACCAAGTAAAATATTTGATGTTGTTGCAAAAGTATCTGTTTTTATTTTACCAAACTGCTTTTAATTGATCAAATTGCTTAAACACATTGCATCCAAATGTTGTTGCAAAAATGCACGTTTATTTTATTATCCCTCATCCTTAATGTGTTTTTTGTTTTATCATCTAATTGATTGCCCACTCATGAACAATTTGATTATTTATTGAAAAGTATAAATTGTTGTATTTTTTTACACACTTGAAGTTCGCCTTGCTTCCGACTTTATTATACGTTTCACATATTTTAATTTCCATCATGCGATAGATAGACATGAATTGCACTGCTCAATGCACAAATTTAACAATTATCTGCTTGTTTATGGGCATTTTGTATTCAATTAAGTGTGCAGTGAGTTTATTTGCCATTTTTGCTCACTGTCAACAGAACGCAAAAAATGCACGGATGCAGAAAAACAAAATGTGGAAAAAATATGGGAAATTGATAAAATAAAATTCATTTGGTTGCCAAGCGAATATAAATAATTGCTGTATTCCTTTTCCAGCTAAGGCAGTTACCAATTTGTACCATCAATTATTTGAATATGTATAAAACGAAATACAAAATAAAAATATTATTACTGCAGCCGCAAAAAAAAAAGGTTCCTTCAATAAAATAAAACAACTACATCGAGTGTTGTTGTTTGCTCTTGCAATTTAATTAAGGACTTCCGGGGACCGACTGAAATAAATGAACGCCATTTATATATATATATATGGCATGAATTGTAAGTAAATAAACAGTCATCATATATGAAAATGGTTTTTTAACGGCCAGACTTGAAAATATTGTTGTTATTTTTGGAAAGAGGCTTAAGTTCAAACTGTGACTAATGGCAATTTGTTTGAGTGCCAGTTCCAGCAAATAGCTACCATTGCCATTGCCATTCCCCACCAGATCCCTGTGATATATGTAATGCATGTAAGCGATATTGCTTCACTCAGCTGTCAGGCGGCATTAAATAATATTTTGCACTCAAAGCGCGAGGTGAGGAGTGGACCCGAGGCCGTGGCAGGGGCAAAGCTGATGTGGCATCGTCATGGACTGTGACATTTTTGAATGCACGCCAGAAAGCCGCACCCTGACAGGACGACAGAAATACGGTTGTCATGTGCTGTATTATGTAACGCATGACATATTAATAAATTAGCAAACTACATTTCTTAGCGGATTGGCATTGAAAATCTGCAAGTGCAGCAGCTGGCCTGGATTTTAGGCACAGATATTGCATAAGAAGTGCAGAAGACTTGGTTATGACAAGTTTGCTGTGCTGTTTTGAAGCTGAATTATGGGAGCAAGAACTTTAAAAAGTACACTTCAGAAATCAAATCAGAGGTTAATTCGAATATTGAAAAATACCCACCTAATCACTGACAAACTTTTTAATACTTTTTAATAATTTTTTTTTGCTTTTTTGAGTTATCAAATATTTGCTCTCTTATAGTAAAATTTGATTTAATCAGTTTGTAGCTGGTTTGATTGCTGCTCTGCTTTCAGAGTTCAGAGAGCAGAGTTTGCAATGCCATTTAGAGTCGTCCCCTTTGCTATTAGCTATTCACCTGCTGCTGCTGCTGCTGCTGCTGATGTAGACGTGCCCAGAAATGCGGGCATCAATAATTTTTAGCTCTGTTTATTATGCAGATAAACAAAATGGCGGACAGACAGACAGACACATATATATGTATACATATAGAATCTCACAGGTCTCGACCTCGTCTTGAGTAAACTACGCTGACACAGCATAAAGTTTTCTCAAACACACACACACACACACACATTCCCACAGTTCGTTCCGGGGTCTTGAGCTGTTCTCGGCAACAGTTGCCAGCAATCATCTAGGCTGTTACATTATTACAACAACAATGTAGTTGGAAAACTTTGCCATTACGACAATGGGAGTTATCTGTCCGTAAATACATAATCTGCTGCCCGCTGCAAGACGTTGGCTCCTGGCCGTTGGAGGGTGACCTGGTCTGTGGCCTCCACTTTTGGCTCCCCAAAGGTTTCGCCTCGCCAACGGTGTGCACCTTGAATAGGGATTTATTTTTATTGCCACAGTGCTTCCTTGTTGGGTTGCGTATTTAGGGTTAAGCAGGTGCTTTATAAAACACGCAGCATCTCGTTCCATGCTCCACTCACGAACTGTAACTAAACCCAAAAGGCCACCTTAATGGCTCGCCTAGTGCGTAAACGTCTTCTTCTTCTTCTTCTTCTTCATATTCTTCATATACTTCTTCAAGGCTTTTGTTTAGTTGCCGGCTGTAAAATTCACACCTCAAAATGTGTCCCCAAAGTGCAATCAAGAGATTTTTGTCAGTCACTTTGACGGCCTTTTCGCCCATCCTGGCTAAGAGATAAGGTCTGTCCGAGCGACTTTCTAACTCTTATAATTAGTTAAGCGACGCATTAAATTAAGTGTGAACATTTTTAGTGCAGTCAAATTATTTATTAAGGTAGCTTTAGCGTTGCCAGCGTTGATCTGACAGATTTCTGCACGTCTTCAAATGTTGTATAACTTATAGATTTGCCAATGGTATTGAAAGTTTAAAACTTTAACAGTTATCTTAGAAATAAATAAATAAATACATTTAAGCAATTATAAACAATGTTCACATTTCTGTTTGCATTTTTAAAACTTATCTTTTTTTTGTCATTTATTATTATTCTTCTGTTTCCTCTTCTGCCTTCTGTTTGCATTATTAAAACATATCTTATTTTTTGTTGGTTATTTATTATTATATCTCGTTGCTAATCGCAACTAAAATATATAAAATACAAATTTAAAATATCAATAGATTATGATTTAATCGCTTTCTGGTACAGGCCATTATTTATTTTCAATCCATTCCGGCCAACTGGTCGAGCCGCAATCATCAACAGCACTAAGACATTAATTCAATAGCTCATCGTACGAATTTGTTTACTCAGATTCACAGCCACAATGGTGTATATATATGTATGTATGAATGTGTACACAGTTTTTGGGGTAAAGCCGAGTCGACATATTGAAATTCATAACTACACACAAAACCAATTACAATATCAATTTAAAAGGGATTAAAAAGCATGTCCATGGCTTACCGAGAACCGGGCACTGTTTCCTGTCCTTTTCTGCTCGGTTCTGTTCAGGGTTAAACTACTATAAAAGTGATGAGTATTCTGTGGTTGGCGAGCAGATTGCTTGTAATACTTATTTATAAGATTTTGCTTGCCACACTAATGCAACACAAATGTACATTGTAAATTGCAAAATTTGTATTTGGGCTTCTTATCTCATCAGACCCAACGAAAAACTGGGCAGCAGGCAAAAGTTTTAAATGAAATTCTAAGCTAGCAGATTTTCATAATAAATAACGCATAATAAACCATAATGCTATTGTGCAATATCAAATATGTTAGAATTGAGTCAACACTGAAAGTGTATCCACAACAAGTGGGTGTTGTGTGGGTGTGTGTAAATTTTTGCATAATTTATTTTGTTTGCCAACAACAACATGCTGATAACCACATTTTTGTGTATACAAAAGAAAGCTGAATATGTATTTGCATGCGACTTGAAAATCTTAACTTGGCTCGCTTTTGTGTTTCTATGTTCAGTTAATGCAATTTTGTTAAGTAAAGTTGCTGTTAAGCGCAAATAGACGGAATAAGTTTCATTTAAAATGCCGACATAGCAATTTAATTTCTAACTCAGTTGCCAAGTTGCATTGGCAGTTTTCTTTATTAAACCAGCTCCAATGGATAAATCTATATTTGTCAGGGGTTTCAGCGATTTTTATATATGCAGCTTCAGGTTATTTATATATAATCAGTACAATTTTGGTTACATGGTATCTATCAGTCAAACCCTTTTAAATATATCATTTGACGTGCCTCCATTGATTGGCGAAGTAGAAAACGGAAATATGCTGAGAATGAAATCTACTGGCTGAGCATGTCAAATTAACATTAACTGGCGATTACAATAGCTTTACCTGTCTGTCTCACCGACATATATATATATATATATATATATATATACGATAAGGCATCGAAGATGAACAAAAGTAGGAGGCGCAACAAGCCAATGACAATTGAAGGGATAACGAGACACACTTTGAGCAGCACACAACACACAACAACAACACAACACTCGCCTTGCCTTCTTGTTGATAAAGGAAATTAAACACAAAAAAAAAACAGCAAAAAAAAAACACAGAAAAAAAGTTAAGCCCTCCAGACAATTGACGCTGCCTTGCGGGGGCGCTGCTGGTCAGGATTAGAGGGGTGGGGGGAAGGTGGTTGCGGGTGGGTTGCGGCATTTGTCTGATTGTCTCGTTGACATGACGTTGCGCGATTTGTAAAAGGCTTTTGTTTTTGTTTTGCCGTCGTCGTCACCGCCGTCGCCGCCGCCGCCGTTGTTGCCTCTCTTTGCTCGCTGTCTGTCTGCCCGTCTGTCTCCCTACAAGTGAGCAACACGCGCCAATGATTATGTTGCCGCTGACAACGACAACAGCAATGACAACAACAGCAAACAGCAACAGCAACAGCAACAGCAGCAGCAGCAGCAGCAACAACAACAACAATGATAGCAACAGACCACTCCGAAAAGTGCCAACTGGCAGCATGCAACGCTTTTTCCTCTTCTTCGTCTACATGCTTTTGTTGTTGTTTCCTTTTCGGTATTATGTTGGGCTTGAAACGCTTGCCACGAAGCTTTTCATTGAGTAAAAGTGACGCATGCGTCGTTGCATTTGTTGGCCAGGCTTAGACGAACCAAATGCTTGAACGCGATTGTTGGCCAGTTCAGTTCGTTGTTGACACTCGTGCATGTTGAACGTTGTTTTCGCAACGACCACGCGGCGTATGTGTAATATTCGCATTGTTTCACTCGCAGTCTGTTTTGGGCGACAGTTCGCGCTTATTGGATTTTGGCGCAAGTAGCAAAAAAAGCCGGTTAAAGTGTTAACAGCATGTGATGGCACATGTCTGTGTATATAACTGAGAGTGTGTGTTGTGTGTGTGGCTGTAGGTGTGTGTGTATGTGTGTGTGTGTGTGTGTATGAAATACTTAGCTACAGCATTCTTTCTGTGCGAAACAAAACATAACGAAATTCCAAGAAAATTAACTTGGCTCATTCTTTTCACTGTTTCTGCATTCGTTGTCGCTGCTCGCAACTGGGCTAATTGATGTTTGTTTGAAATAAAACAAACCAAGTACAATAAAAATACAAAACACACACAAGTGGCTCAAACCCTAATGAACGTGCAACAATAGCCTTTGAGTGAGTGGCAGCGAAAGCGAGGCACGCGATGAATGCAACAAGAACGCGGACTGCAATTCTCTGAATCAAGCGCAATTAAAAAAAAAATAAAAAAAAATCAAAGGTAAATTCATGCCCAAAAAAGTTGATTTAGATCTTATTAATTCCACATATTTACTACGTTTTTTGCAATGGTTTTCATTAGACTCATTGAAAAAATGCAAGATTTGTTTGTATAAAAGACAAACTGAATAAATTAATCAAATACAAGCTATTATATAGTGAAGCATTGCATGAATTAAAATTGCATAAATTCATGTGATAAATATATTAAATAAAATGTGTGAATATAAAATGATATTTTGTGAATTTATTAATACTGTAGCGTGTAAAAATGAATTAAATCAGATTAAAAATAAATGTTGCTCCAGAGTTTTGGGTATAATTAACTTTATGCCATTGTACGCTGCTTCGAAATTATTTATTAATTTTTGTATGCGCTCGCTTTTGTCTTGCATTTGAGAGTATTCATTGTCGGCTCCGCTCTTTTTTTTTTTGCCAGTCGTGTGTTTTTGGTTTTATTATTTTTCGGAAGGCGCACACAAACATTTATAAAAAGGTTTTTCTTGCTCGTCCGGTTACGTGAGTTACCAACACCAGTCCACCACACAGACTCACAGGCCAGAGCCAGAGTGATGCTCTGCATTACGGTTCTTTTTATGACGGAAGTACATTTAAGCAGATTTTTTACTGTTGCCTCCATGTTGCCGCTTGCCACACAAAAAGAAAAGGCACAAAAACCAGATAGAATGAGAGAGCTATGCGATCAACAAAATTTAAATATTTTTCTTTTGCGCTTTGCATTTCATTTTCCTGTCTTGGCAAAATTTATTACCAACCAAATTGCAATGTGTAGCAAAAACAATAAAAATAATAAAAACACACCAAAGTTTTTCCGCTTCGAACGCAATAAAAAGGGTTTAGGCTGCATTAGACCCAAATGAAAGTTGTGTGACGCCTTCACAAGCCATTTTCCGATGACAGCCCAAAAATTATAATTGCCATCGCGCCCCGATTTAAGTCAAAGTTTGAGCGTTGCTCATTTCATATTGTTTGAGACACACGTTTATTGAAATTTAATACAATTACCAAGCACCCAGAGGCTGGAAGTGTGCGTGTGTGTACTTTATGAGCATGGTAGAGTGCGTAAATAAGCCAAGTGAAAGCTAAGTGAAAGTCATAAGCTACCAAATATGGTGCATAAATAGGCACAGAGGTTGAGGGGCACATAGAGCCTTCAGCTGCCAGTCGAGTCAATAAATAAATTTACTTGTCACTTGCCTAAAGACGGTTCCCGGTATTGTTAATAGAATACACTCTAACTTGAAGGGTACTTTAGTGTATTAAAATAGAAAGTAAATACAACTCAATCCACTATTCGTACATGCAGCACTTTTCTGATAGTATAAATTTCACTATTTGTATAACAACTGTTAGAGGTTAAAGTTTAATTAAATTACCATTGAATAAATAGATATCTATATTTTATGTTTATATATCTTTCAATTTCTTTATGTATTAATAAATACATGGTATTTCGTATATATACAGGGTACTTCCCACATCGACCATGCTCTGTTTGTCTTTCTGTTGTAGCTTCGTTTTCGCTATGTGAGTTATTGTATGCCATGCGTAATGATATAATCTGCCAGCAAGAGATAAAAGAAAGTTTTCTGGCTTATTTCCGAGTTACCAACTTTAAGGACCATTTAGATGGCAATTTAAATTTGCATAGCATTAGGGGCTCGGCGGACAGCGAGCAGCTGCCGACATTTATTAAGTGTATAAGTGAGCTATTCAAAATCAAAGCAGCAGGAAAATTTTCTTCAGTTGCAACAGCAAACAGCAAAGCGACAGAGTCTCGAAGACATAGCGCACTCGCATATCGCGAGTGCTCATTGTCAGGACTGCGTGGCATGCCACCGCTGAGCTTTCAGCTAAGTTGCAAAAGTAGTCTCTATGCGCTTGGCAGCTGCAACAATGCACAGACATTTATGGCACGAAACGCCGGCGGCAGCTGGCTGACAAATGCCTTGAGAGTGCCATACCATGGCAGCCCCGGGGCATGCAACATGCTAAGGCTCTGTCACCTGCTGACATTTCCAATGTCTGCTCCCACATCAGCTGCCTCCAACTTATATAGCAGGGACTTTTGTGTGTCGCTGGCGATGCGCAAACAAATTGAGATGTATTTTCCTTAAAGATTTTGTACGTGCTCCAGCCTCGCGAAAAAGATTACAGGACCTGCTCGCAGCTAAGTAACTATAAATGTTGTATGGAATTTATAATAGAATAAAAAATGCAAAATATTTGTAGAAATAATAATATAGTTGTTGAAGAAATAAACCATCGACGAATCAGTAGATTTATACAAATTGAAAAGCGAAAGAATATTAATTACGTTAAACACTCAGAGACTAATTTGTATATATATAGTAAGACTAAATTTAAGCGAATTGATTCATTCTGTGGAGCTTTTCATTTATTTATATGAAACTAATTAAATGTTGTTTATCGCCATAGGATAAATCGAGGCCTGGTTTCTGTTGATGCACTCAAGAAATTCTCTGGAACACTTATTCCTCGTTGTGTAGCATATTGCTGCCATCGTAGCTCAAAACTCTCACGCAATATTCGTTTACACAGTTTTTAATATGTAGCTAGGGAAATGGCTTTGATGTTGATGCCTGATGATGGGCATGGCATTTTAGCTTATCGTTGTGTCAGTGACAAGCAGCCTAAGAGCCACTCAACAACCACCACAAGCACCGCTGCCTTCTGCAAATAGAGTTTGTTGGTTAAACTCGAGGCATTATAGCTGCGCTTTTGCTTATTAATCTGTGAAATGCTTAAACTGCTTTCAAATTAAAGCGCTGAGACGAAAGTTGCTGTGCATTTTGGTTCAGATATTTTACATGAATATATAGATATACGTATATATGTCTAGTTGTACCATGTGTGGCAGCCTTACATGCATGCTACGATTTTAGTTTCTCGCGCAAATGTGGACAAAATGTTGCCTCGACTTTGTATATAAAAAGTGTGAACAATTTTATTGTGCGGAAAATTCGCTTGTTCAGTATGCGAGTGTGTGTGTGTGTGTGTGTCTGCGTGTGTGTTAACCTTTCACATTCAGGCAAAAATACTTTTGCATAATTTAAAAAGGTGCACTAAAACAAAACTAAGAACACAGCGGCGGAAAGGTCACTTTTTCTTGTTGCTGCCAGCAGTTTTTTTTTAGTTTCTGTTGCAACTTTAAAAATGGTATTTAATCAAGATGAAAATATCCAGAATTTTGAAAATTTCAACCACTTCCTACACTTTTTCAGACTTTGTATTTTCATTTACATCTGTAAACGTTGAATATTTAAACTCTTTTAAGCTAAAAGTTCATTGAAAAACAAACATGTGTCTTGCATTAAGCTGTCAAGTTTTTGCCAAGAACCTTCAACCCAAAACTAACATTCAGCCAATTTCAATATTTTAGCGAACTCGCTTCTTATTTTTATACGTTGGCATTCAAAGTGCTTTTCAATTGAGAAGCTTTCCCACGTGTTCCCTCCCATGCTGCTTGGCCTGACAATTAAAACTCTTGGAAAATTCGCTCTGAAATGCAGCTAGCCATAAAAAGCATTGCATTCATTATATGCATGTGGTATATATGTATATGGAAAATGCTGCGGGGAATATATAGGGTAAACAACTTTTTTGTATGTTCGTTTTTTGCAGGAAAATGAAAACGCCGAAAAAGGTATAAATCTTGAATGTTCTAACATGTGTTCGGCCAAAAAAATAAATAAAAAAATACAGGCAAATAAAATACACCAACGCACAACTTTGGTGTGGAATGGAATGCGAGGCAGCAAAGCAAAGCCTGAAATCAACAGGAAACAATGTCTAGCAACAAATCTGGGATTGGGTCAGGAGTGGGTGCAGTAGGCGATGGGATGGGATGGGATGGGATGGGGTGCTTGTGTGTAAGCTGTGTATTGTGTTGCTTAGCGCCAGTCAACTCAAATTACTTGTCAAGTGCTGCGGCAATTGACGTCGCCCACTCGACAATTTGTGGCAGCGCCAAGTGGAAATAGAAATAGTTAAATTACCCATTCTTCGTTTTGGGCAATTCACCTGCGCCGCACAGTAGGCAACCATTTTTTATTCAATAATCATTTTTGCTCACGTGTGTGTAAATATTTTATGTAGATTGCTTGACAAAACGACAAAAACAGAAAGGAAAACTAAATGGAAAATGAGGAAAAGCAGCCTTTGTGATTTATATGAAATGTAATCATGCATGTGGCTGGCAATATTGATGGAAGTGTAGATTGCCTAATGCAAATGATGAGATTGCCAGGCAAACCTGAAAGGTGAAAGGAGCAGTTAGCTGAGAAGATAGAAATTGGATGAGCACAGTTCTGTTGCTAATTATTTAAAGTAATTGCAATTTCTATACTGACGTTTATTGATTAGTATTGAAAAATGAACAAGATATATATTCATTGCTTGAAAGTGCAGTCACTCTGAAAGGCACTCAGATAAATATATGTTATCCGGTTGACAAGCTGACGTCGAGTATCCGAGTCCTCACTCAAACTCCTTGAACTATGCATATCGCAATAAATTTACATTGAAAAGCCAAGCCAAAATGCGCAGATATTTTTTATGTGCAAAAAAAATAAATTGAAATTGTTGTGAAGTGGAAGGGGGGTTGGATATCAATGCAGAGGCAGCAAATCACTTGGAGTAGACGAAAGGCGACGAAGCGCATAAATTGTGTGGCCCGTCTAAGACATGCTTCATACACACAACCGGCGCACACCCAACACACAACCAACTCACAGACACGCACACACTCATACCTCTTGAAGGCATCCGAAATGCTTGTGTTTTGTTTTGCTTTGAGGTATTATATACGATGAGTATTATACCTGCTGGTTACCAAAAGAAAACTCCAGCGAACTTTACAGTCAGGCAGCAAAAGCAAGCAGAAGCAGAGCCCGCATCGCAAACGCCATTGGACGTTGAGAGCTCATCTCTAGAGATTTGCCTAAATTATGATTTATA